CTTCTTTTGAGAATTCTCTGTTCAGTTCAGTGTCCCATTTTTTAATTGGGTTAATTAGCATTTTAGAGTCTAGTTTCTTGAGTTCTCTATATATTTTGGAGATCAGACCTTTGTCTTTTGCGGGGTTGGTGAAGATCTTCTCCCAGTCAGTGGGTTGCCTTTTTGTCTTAGTGACAGTGTCCTTTGCTTTACAGAAGCTTCTCAGCTTTAGTAGGTCCCATTTATTCAATGTTGTCCTTAGTGTCTGTGCTGTCCTTTATGCTCTAAGATGGAAATAGAAACTGGATATCTTCTGTACAAAATTGCATATGTGTGTATATATGTATATATAAAATTATATATATATAAATTTATGTGTGTATTATATATCTATTTTTTCTATTCCTAGGGGACTCCTTCTCACAGTTCCGATTTGCTGAAGAGAAGGAATGGGATGGTGAAACATCATGTCCAAAACAGGTAAGAGAAATGTCTTGAATGTAGGTTAGCTCATGTCAAGGCCAAGGCCCCTCCCATTTCCATTATCGCAGAGATGAATCCCGTGGAAAAGAGCTCTAATCCATATGCATTTTATTCTCAGCTACCTGCTGGAGAGAGAACATGTACAGGGAACTACATAAGTTCTTCAGGTTCTTCAAGCTTGAGTTCATTTGGCCATCCCCGTGAATGTCTTATAGGTTGAGTTGTGAAGAAGGAAGTTAATGGTTGTGATTTTAACACAATAGATTGCTTTGCTATTTTTTCCCCGCCCCCCCCACCCCACATTCCTTCTTTAACTGCGTTTCTTTATTATCCTTCATCAAGTAGGGTAAATGTAGGAAATAAAAACAGGTCTGTAGAAGGCCTTCAGTCAGTCCTTAAACCACGAAGGTTGCGTTCACGAGTAAGAAATGGATTAGGTACTGAATTCCCACCCACCCCCATACAAATGCATGCCTGCATGCCAGAAGAGGGCACCAGGTCTCATTATAGATGGTTGTAAGCCACGATGTGGCTGCTGGGAACTGAACTCAGGACCTCTGAAAGAACACAGTGCTCTTAATCTCTGAGCCATCTCTCCAGCCCCAGCTCCCTGTAGCTTGAAACAGGATCTCTTATTGGACCTGGAACTTGCCGTTTTGGTTAGATTGGCTGGTCAGTAACCCCTGGGATCTGTTTTTCCCCCCACTTCCTATCAGACTGAGATTACAGATATGCACTGCCTGCCATGCTCAGCTTTTACGTGGGTGCTGGGGGACCCAGCTCAGGTCTGCGCTTGTGCAGCAGGCCCCACTTCCCACATTCCTGTCAGGGTTTTATTTCTTAAATATGTTATCTAATTTAGAGGTGAATTTCTTTGTTTCTTTTCTTTCTCTAGAGCAAACAATGCCAGTTAACATTGTCATTATGGCTTCCCAAAGACCTCGTCATTTCAGGATGGCTTTTAAGGGGCTGTGGGAAAACCAGATTGCTTACTCCGATGGATCCCCATGTTCTACTGTTTTATGAACTAGGGACTAATGCGGGCTTTCTGTGGCAGGCTCTGCTCTTGAGGTGCCAAGAACTGTGTTTCCATCTCTAATAATTTATAAACCTATCAACTTGAGATGCCCTACAATAGAGCTGCTAAGTGAGGGGATCTCTGGCTTTTTACCAATGTGGTTAGTAATTATAGGAAAAGACAGTCCTGGACTGACCTATGAAAGTCCCTGTCCAACACTGGTGGTGGATGGTGTTGGCCTCTGTGCTGGAAGTCATAATGACTACCTTTTAAGCTTTTGCTTCCCTTAGGTCACCAGGACACCTCCAAGGTAGCTAATAGGATAGTAGATAATCAGTCACTGGTTTGGCTATAGACTTAGCAGGGATGCTGGTTTGAGATAGTAGTGCAGGAACGTAGTAGCTTCATTCCTGGGTGGAAAGGGTCAAAGGAAGCTTTTAGTGCCACCGCCACACTGAGCGTAGCTGGCTAGAAAGAGGAAGTTGCTGTTTTCTGATTTGAAGAGAAACAGTGCTTACCCACCAGCTTGTTTGAGGGCACCTGGCAACCATGTCACCACCTAACCAGCTCTTCTCCCTTCTGCCTAGGACTAGCAGTCTGGGTTTAGGGGAAGTTTCTGGTCAGATTTCACTAAAATGCTAGTTTTCTTCCAGTTTTAGGGTTAGGGTATCAGCTTGGTGTGATGGTGAGCACTGCCCTAACTGTGTCTCTGAGTGAGCGAGCCGTGGGCTCAGTGTTTGGTAGAGAGACATCAAATGTCATTAAATGTGATTTATTATTGGACTCCTGGACAAAAACATCTCCAATGGATGATTTACTTACAGTTGTTTTACCCCCACCTCCACACCCATCTAGAATTCATCACTCTACTTGGACAGTGAGTCACTGGTTCGAGCCCTTCAACAGCTGCCCCTCTCAGTCCGGCTTAACGTTGCTGCAGAGTTGATCCAGGTAAAATCAGTCTGCCTACGCTCTGGGTTGGGGCAGAGGAAGAACCAAAGGGAAGAGTGCAGTCTGCAGGGTGTCTCAGCCTGAGCTTTTCTTGTCCATCATCAACTGAGGCCTCTTATTGAGGTGTTAACTTTTAACGTTGGAAGGAAAACAAAGCAGCTGTTTGACATTACTGTTGTGTTTTATATATGATACATTTTAGTGGATCAAATATAGAATTGAATGCAAGACTATAGCAGAGTATAAAGTCTGGCTATTACCACAAAATATCCAGGTACCAGGCTCTGAGTTGACACTAGGGACACAGTGGTGAGCAGGTGGATGTGGTTCCTCCTTCCCTGAGCTCAATCTACTGGAAAATATTGATACTAATCAGTTTAATGAAATAATTATAGAGAGGCATAGAAACAATGTGCCGTAAGAGCTTGTGGTAATGAAGCTGATGTATCATGGTGTGGCTAGGACTGGCTGGTTTCAGAAACAATGGATAAGCTGAGGTCCGAGGTGTGAGAACACATGAGCTGCAGTGAACAGGGATGGTGACCCAGGCAGGTCCACATTCATGAAAACAATCATAATACAGACTATGCTGGTGGAATAGAAGGCAGGTTAAGTGACTGGGGTGTGTATTCATGGCTGTGTCTGTGTGCTGAGTGACTGGGATGTGTTCATGGCTGTGTTTGTGTGCTGAGTGACTGGGGGGGTGGTGTTCATGGCTGTGTTTGTATGCTGAGTGACTGGGGTGTGTTCATGGCTGTGTTTGTGTGCTGAGTGACTGGGGGGGGTTGTTCATGGCTGTGTCTGTGTGCTGAGTGACTGGAATGTGTGTTCATGGCTCTGTTTGTGCTCTTAAGGCACAGTAGGGAAGCCATCTTATGAAAACTGTCACCTGGGTCCAGGTAAAAGACTTTCTCTCTCCTCTCTCCTCTCTCTCTCTCTCTCTCTCTCTCTCTCTCTCTCTCTCTCTCTCTCTCTCATACACACACACACACACACACACACACACACACACACACACGCACATCCATAGTCTTCAGGTCTGTTCTCTATTGCACTTATTGGTATCACTTAGGAAGTTAAAAAAAATAAAGGAAAACAACTTCCTTGTTCTCACAGAGATCCATGAAACAGTTGTATGCTGTGGGACAATGGTTTTACCATGTAAAGATTTGTTTTTTGTACTTGTTTAATAAAATGCTGATTGGCCAGTAGCCAGGCAGCAGGGTGACCAGGCAGGAAGCAGAGGCGGGCCAATGAGAACAGGAGAATTCTGGGAAGAGGAAAGATGCAATCTGGAGTTGTCACAGAGGAAGTCAGACACAAGAAGCAGAATGAGAATGCCTTGCTGATAAAGGTACCAAGCCATGTGGCTAACACAGACAAGAATTATGGGTTACTGTAAAGTGTAAGAATTAGTAAGAAGCCTGAGCTAATAGGCCAACTAGTTTATAATTAATGTAGACCTCTGTGTGTTTTTGGGGGGCTGAATGGCTGTGGGATTGAGCAGGATAGAAACCTGTCAACAAACATGTAGACCTCTATGTGTTTATTTGGGACTAAACGGCTGCAGGTCCAGGCGGGACAGAAATCACTGTTAACAGTTATAGGGTTAGCATAGAGAGGAGGACCACACCCTGGCTTTGCTTTGTACAACTGCAGTGCTGGGCATTGGTCTAGTTTACGCTTAAAAGGCCATGCTGAAGTAAATTTCTGAAAAATGTCTGAGGAGTTTCTAGCAGTCTACATCTTTCAATAAGAGTAGGGATCAGGTACTGTAGGGCACACTTTCTAACCTAGGCATTGTGGGTCCCTGCCATCCCTGTGGTGGCCTTACCTCAACCTCAGACTGAGACCTGTCATGGTCATATGGGAAGCCTTCGAAGCACAGCACAGACAGGGAAGAATGTACAGAGATATGTATGTGTAACTTTGGAATCGGCATCTACATGGATAGTCAGAACACTGTCAGGTCCTCTGAGGCCACTACACATGCCCACATGACAGCCATCACCCTGGCTTCTATTACTACAGTTTTACCTGGTTTTGAATTCTCTATAAAGTAGCCAAATAGTCTGTTTTCTTCACATTTGACATCTTGTATTCAAACAACAGTTGAGTTCTTTTCTTTTTGGCAAATGATCCTGCCCCTCTGTGTTCCTGCATCTCAGCACAGTGAACAAGTCTCCTTGGCTAATTACTTCTTAGTCACTTTTACAGATAGGTCATCCTTCATTATAGCCTTAAGTATCGATTCAAATAGACATGTGGTACAATTAGCTTTCAGAACAGGGATAGGAGGACATGGGCTTTTAATTCAACCTCTGAGTTAGTTAGCACATAATAGAGGGGGGTTGGGCAGAGGCTCAGCCCTACAATGTTTCCACAAAGTCTCTTTATCCTCCTTGGGGTCAGGAAGAGTGCTGTGGTGGGGCCCCAACAGGACGTACTTTGTGGGCTGTCACAGGATTGTATGGCTTCCTTAACTTCTTGTGCTTAGGCAGACAGGAGGACTCTACTAAATTCCGACATAATGCTCTTTTTCAGACCACAGTTCCCTTAGAACTTCCACAGGTGAAACCAAGGAGACCCGAGGATGGCAAGGAACCGGGCATGCAGTTAAGGGGACCCATCTCTGAGCTCAGATCTGCTGCTGGTAGTTGTTCCAGGTCTCTGGGCAAAGACAGTTTAAGACCAAGCCCTCTAGAAGGTTTGCAGAAAGCCCCCTTCCCGCCACACTCGGAGGCAGACCATCTGGAAGATGAACTGGACATGCTGCTGCACTTAGATGCACCTGTGAAAGAGGACAACAGACCCTGTCTGGACCAGACGTCTCAGGACCAGGAGCCAGAAAGAGATGGGCAGGTGGCCCAGGAGGAAACAGGCATGGCTTTCATTTCATTTCCCGTTCATCTGCTCAGTTGTGGTGTTTTTATGGGAGCAGTCCTACCGCATCACCTGCGCCACCCCTCTGTGCCTGTCATTGATCCAGCAGTGTCCCAGGCATCTCTTCCCCTGGGCAAATCACAGCTTCCCCTGAGCTGACCTTTCCAGCACTTTCTCTTACTCAATATCTCAAGCTTCCAAAGTGGCTACCAGCCCGGTTGCAGTATTAAACTTAAAGCTGCAAATTGAGCTGCTATAAAAGCCTTTCAGAGGAAGACCTTTTAATCGACTAGGCTGCAAACTGATTTGGTTTTTAAAGCAAAAGAATGTTTATATCTTGTAAATGTTCTGTGAGCTGGTAGTCCTTCTGATGTGATAGGCCTAAGATAACTGTCATATACAGAGCTCAGGAGTCATTCCGATGTTTCAGGATTGCATCAAAAGGAAAAGGACACTGAGCGATGCTGTTGGTCGTTGTGTTAAAACAAACTCAACACTTGTGAGCAGTGAAATTCATCTTCAGCCTAAATAGAAGAGCAAACCTGTGCCTTTGCTTATGTTGTTTAGATACTATTCGTTGTATCTTAGGGGGTGACAATCATGGAATTTCTTCCTTGTTACGGAGAAAGTAATATCCTCAAACAAACCCCCCAAAAGCCTTAACCCTCACCGTTGTAATTGATGAAGTGGCTAATGTTGATTTTATTTCCATAGTTCCTGAAAAGTCATCCATGACTGGAGAGAAAACTGTGGAGCCTGAACAGACAAGGACATCCAAAAATGTCACCGAGGAAGAGCTGGAAGACTGGCTGGACAGCATGATTTCCTGAGGAGGGGAAGGGGTACCAAGGGGGAATATGGGCCTGAAGCAAATTTTGGTTGCCTTCTAAGTGAGGGTGAGCTAATTTACCAGAATATCCCACGCTAACATGTACTGTTAATGCCTACAGCAGCCAATGCCTACCTCTGTTTCCGATGGCATCTGAATACATGTATGAGGCTTGCTTGGGGCTTTATTTTTGTTGTTACCTGACTTAGTCACCTAATTCTTTAAGGACAGGGGATGCCATAGCTACGTTTTTCCTGACATTATGGAATAACAGGTGCTAATTAAGGGAATATATACAAACAAGAGGCATGCAGTTGGTCAAAATAAACACCCTCTGGCCATTTTGTTTTGCCACAAAACCCATGGACTACTTGTCTCACGTCCCTGACTCCAGCCATCCTGCAGTAAAGGAACGGGAAGTGGTTACAAGAGGCCAAACCACGAACTGGCATGTGTTACTTTATTGCAGTGGGCACTTCATTTTATTGGAGGAGATTGACCTAAAACATGGCAGCTCCACTACTTACACAGGACCATAAAGCATCACTCAAGTTTGGTATAAGATTGGGATTTTTTCTGAAATTTCAGTCCAGTGCCTTTCTTCCAATGACAGCAGCTGTGAGGCTGTTACTGAAGAAATCGTGTGAGTAACCTTCAAGTACAGGTTCATAGGGTGAGACAGATCAGCACAGCTGTTAATGGAGTTGTCCTTCTGGAACACAAACATAAAAAACTTGCATAGCTATATCTAAAGAGATTTTTTTAAGGCACTTAATCGATATTTCAGGTTCGACAAAGTGTTGTTTTCTATTTCTTTAGCTGTTTAAAGCTTTTCAGGCTGAGTCTGGAAAGTCACTAGCAAGTACCATGGAAAAATTAGATTGCAGTTAACACAAGTTGAACATGGTTTTGTGTAGTTCTCCCCATCAGTTTCTGGCAGACCCCTCTTGCACGACAATTTAGGTGTTCAAGACTTCATATTTCTCTGAGCTGTTCCCAGGAACGAGTTGCTCTTAGAGCTGAGATCCCTGCGAGCAGTCGGGTGGAGTCCGTGACCGTTTGCCGTCCTTTGTCCACTGGGCACAAACGCCAGAGCAGTTTCCAAGTATGGATTTTTTTTTAAAGCAGTGTAAAAGAAGAATTATGTTGCATTAGAAGGTGACTGTCCAGAATCACGGCTTGTCTTGAACTCAGATTTACCCAAGCTGATCTTCATATTGCTTACGAAAGCAGTCGCCAGCTGGGAAGAAGTCCCAACACCTTTCCTGGTACATCTTCCACACATAAGATTCCTGAAACAGGGTAAACAAAGGGTACTTTGTGTTGAAACCTCGGTAAGCTAAGCCCGGTTTGTTTTTTGCTCTGTGTGGTTTCCTTTAGGGAGACCAATGGGAACTGATGTGAGGTCACATGGACATGTTCTCACGCTCTCCTCAGCCTGCTTGGTTTTGTGAGCTTTCCTTCCCATCATGGTGAAGGGGAGGAGGCAAACCTCGGGGGACTAAAAAGAAGGTGGGTTGAGGGGACACTTCATGTAAAGTTTTCCTAGGCATTGACGTCTGACTTTTGAGTATCTAGGCCCACCTTTCTTTTTCAGTTAGTCACAGGATTACTTGACACCGCTCTCACCACACCTCCACGTTCCTGCTGTCACCCACATGCAAGGCCGCGCTTTCTTGTGCTGTCTCTCCCGCTCTTTGTTCCAGCCGCCCACTCCATTCTTCGTTGTCTTTTCCTCTCTACTGTCCTCCCACCTCCAGCTATTTTATACAGAAGCAGTAAACACAATGGCTTGGAAAATGTGTTTGTTGGGAGGGATTATCAGGGGATCTTGGGGGAATAGACTGCAGTCACCATAGAGTTCTCACTTCTTACTAAGTAACAAAAACGGTGATGGGAAAAATGCATCTAAGAGACTACTTGCCTCAGATAGCCCCAAGTGTACTGCTCAGTTTTAAGACTTAGTAAAAGGAAGACGACACACCTAGTTCTTAGTTAGAAGCAGCTTGTCTCTTACCTGACCTGTGTGTTCTGTTTCATCCTTATTAATCAAATACATCAGAAAGAATCTGGAAAAAGAACAAATGGAGGAAAGGTAGGGTTTTTAAATTAAAAACAAAACAAAGATTAGTGTGCATGGTGGTGCTCACTTTTAATCCTAGCACTCGGGGGACAGAGGCAGGTGAGCTTCTAAGTTTGAGGCTAGCTTGGTCTACAGAACAAGTTCCAGAAAAGTCAGGAGTATGTAGAAAGGCCCTGTCTTGAAAACCACCCCACCCCAAAAAACTAAAACCAAACAGCAAAAAACTATATATGTGTGTGCCTGCAGGTGCCAGTAGAGTCTGAAAGAGAGCATTAGACATCCTGGAACTAGAATGACAGGCAGTTGTGTGCTGCCTGGGTGGGTGCTGGGAACTGAACCTGGGTCCTCTTCAAGAGCAACACGTGCTCTTAACAATTGAGCCATCCTTCCAGCCTGAGGTAGGTCTTACCCACACTGTCTAACATCATCTACTAAGATAAGTTGGAAATACGGTTTGAAAACTAGGAAGCCTGTACGAACCAGGGAAGCATTTCTGATGATGACAGATGCTCATCTCCAAGCCAAAGAGGAAGAGCCTTCCGAAGTCCTCCAAATTTGAGGTAAACCCACTTGCAAGCTATCTTGCTTACTATAAAAGAGAAGTCCGACCCTTTCCATAGCATTATCAATAGGCCTGTTTATCATGGTAAAAATTAGACTTGAAATCACACATCGAGGATGAGCCACGGACAGTGTTTGCTCTGTTCATACTCCTCCGCCCAGGAGACTGCTTTGTTTCTCACTGTGAAAATCTTGGGAAAGGCAGCGTGGTTTCACTTGTGCTAAATGATCAAAGATTTGACTCTGTCTGTGACACACAAGTGTTGTGCACTCTCAGTTCATATTATATGACTTCAGAGATGCTTTCTAGAAGTCGCATCTACTTGGGGAAAGGAGAACATGATACTGATAAAGGAAGAGAAAGTGGAGAAAGTGTCTTGCATGGTAGCAGAGCCTGAGCCCCAAACCTCGAGTTTTCACACTAGTACTAGATTTTATCTTGGGTCCTGGCACACAGATGGCTCTAACGGTGACAGCTTCTTCCTTTCCCTCTTCTGTCATACTGAAGACCTGGGCCAGTGTAACCTTCTTTTCCTGGCACATTTATTTAGCTGGCAGATCACCACACAGAGTGTTCCAGATCACCACACAGAGGTGTTCCTTTACTACCTCTTCCAAACAGAAAGGGAGAAATGACATGAGCAGACTGGACTTTGTGACAGTTATTTTGTTTTGCCCTGAAGATGACATCCTTCACCAGACTACTTACAAGTAATTGGCCAAGTTGTGCTCTTGCAGTGTATGTGTTTCAAAACCATGAGGGGTTGTGTCAAAGTAGTCATTGCCAATGCCACAGATGAAGCATTTCGTCTATGAAAACAAACATAAAAGGAAACCACCTTAGTACGCATAGCTGCAGAGGAAGGAAAACCGCTAACAGCCTGCCGAACTGGGGACAAGGAAAACTGCCTTCCTGTTTAATGCTTTGGGCTAATATGCCTTTATTCATCCCACCTTTCTAGCTGAAGATGCTGCTCCCTCCAGTATGAGACAGGAGGCAGCAGTGTGTCAGGCATGGCGGGGTGAAGCTCACAGGGCATTAGTGCCCAGGGCTGGTAGCTTGGTGCAGAGAAAGCGAGACAACAGGCATGGGAAGATTTAGTAGTTTTGCTTAGGGACGGCCCTAATTAATAGCCCTGTCTATGGTTTGAGGAACCCGTGTGGGGTTGAAATAAGTAGAAAGAACGGTACCTCCATGTCCTCACGTACTTGTTCCTGCTGGTCTCTCAGCTCTCCAAAAGCATCAATAATCAGACCTGGGTTTTTAAATACAAAGGACAGAGTACCCTCTCCGTATCATAGTCTCAGGGGAGAAGTGGCAGAGCCCATTTTGATTTGTCAAAAAAAAAATTATCAAACTGAGCTTGTCTGTTACAGCAAAATTAAAAGGGAAAGGGCTATGTTTTCAAGCACTTGGTTGAAGCTAGTCAGTTCTTATGGCTTCTCTTCCTGTGCCTCAGTGCTGACAGCTGCTTCCCTTAACTCTTTCTTCTCCTGATCCCCCGGATGTCAATCACGTGTTCTCATTGTTTTTGATCAATGTCTTCCCTCATCGTCTTTGCTTCTGAGTCCTCAACACTTAAATATCAGCACCACATTTCAGCATGACTCAAATTAAATTCATCATCTTTGCTTCTTCAGTTCTTAGCAAACTGTTGACTAAAATATCAGTACCTTCCTATCTGCTCTAAAAGACAATAAGACATGTCATATCTTTATAGCTCCTTTCTCTCCTGTTTCCCACCTCTCTGCATGAGAGAACAAAGAAAAGGGTAAGGCAACCACAGGAGACATCTAGGAAGCAGAAGGGATGAAGACATAATTTAGGGTGAGGAGTACTCTGTGCATGCCCTCAAGTTTCTTGAAATTGTCTAGGGGGCTCTTTGGCTCTCTATATACAAGAATTCACAGACAATAAGTGCTCAGTGAATTGTTAAATTGACAAGTTAGAGGAATTAGGGAAAAAAAACTTCTTTGTAAAACAATCACTTGATGTATATAGAAAAGCAAAACAAACTAGATGTATTTAATCCAGCTCCTATGTACTGTAATTGACAACCATACCTTGAATGATGGCCAGCAAGATGACAATGACAAAGAAGAAGAAGGTAATGTCAAAGACGATGCGATACATCTCGTAAGGGTCACCAGCAGGGTCTTCGATTTCATCACCAATGCCGCCACCCGCTCTGACTCCCACATACATGTGGAAGAGGTAGCACTAGGGAAGATGGTGGTGGCAGTTCAGGTGAAAGGGGAATGGCTCTCCAGGAGCATGGTCACTTCACACTACACATCTGAGCATGACAGTCCTGAACTGGGAACAGGAACTATCTTCAGTGATGCTGGCCTTTGCTGTCCACTGCACCCAGATTGCTGTCTACCAGGGTGGAAAAATTCCTATTTTTGAAAACCTACTTTGAATTGCGATGCATATAATAAAAGGTTGGTAAGGCCTGATGGTATGGCATATACCAGCTATTGGCTTTGTCTTGTCGAACTTCAAGACTGCCAGCCTGATTTTTAGGCTCTACTTCTTTATCCTCTGCATATTTTCCAAGAATTTCCATCAAGTATGGGCTGAGCATCCCTAACCTGAAATCAGAATGTTTTTAAACATAAAACTGTTCAAATGCCATCATGACACCTCCTCAGGTCCAACATTCACCACCTGACCTAACATCATGTTCACTGTCAAAGTACATCTTAAATACACTTGTGTAAAATTGCTTTCAGACTTTGGCTTTAAAATATAAAGGGAGCTGATGAATTTCATGTTTAGATTTTGGTCCTACTTTTTAAGACATAGGATATGTGCAGGTATTCCCCAATCTGAAGCACTTATGGTCCCAAGAATTTGGATAAGGAACACTCAACACACCCAACCTGCAATCGACTTTCTTTAACACATGTGTTTATATTTATCTGAGCACTGCTTCATTTAGCCAGCCACATGTATCCTTTCCCCCCACCAGTGGCCTTAGGCTCACAGAGAAGGGGCAAATCCAGAGCAGGGAGCAGCCGGAAGCCAGGCACCAGGTGCACCGGTGTTCTGATGACTGGCATTGCTGCCTTGTCCCAAGATAGCATAAGGGGAGTTTTAGCCAATAAGCATTACCTGTTTATAGAGAAATGCTCCAGACCTTTACCTAGCATGTCTTTCCCTGAAGTTAGACTGTGATAAGCCCTAGAAGAGATGCCACTGCTACCTCCACAGCATGTGTCCCCCCCAGCTGTGCCTCTCATTCCGACAGGGCCAGACAGGATCCCCTACACCTGACAGACACCGCCTTATCCTGCTGCGTCATGCTCTTAGCCTTTGGTATCTGTCTTGAAAGAAGCCAGATGAATGGCTGAAATAAGGATCTCTCATCTTTGGAACTTCACTCCCAGTTTTCAGAGATGAAAACGAAAGCTGTACTGCCACGGAATTTAGAAGTGCTCACTCACGGCGTGTCTAATCCTCATCCCAAAGTGAGAGAAGCGCTGGTATCCCTTGGCTCCCACAGTGTGATGACCTCTGTTACATCACCCCCATCTCTCTCCAAGACACTGCCTTCTTTTGGACAGATGACAACTGGTCTCTTCTCAAAGGCCACCACCTCTGGCTTTTCTCTGCCATGGCCAGTGGGTACTCACTGTCATCATGTCGTCACACTTCATATCCGGCTCGTCGTCATCTTCACTTTTGTTATAGAACTTGCGGAAGAAGTTGAAAGCCACCACAGTATAGAGGTAAACAACCACAGCCAGGAGGCCAACAGTCAGAACCAGCTAGGGAGGAGAAAACGGAGCTGTAGAGGAGTGGAATTTCAACCCTGGAAGGCTCATGGGACCCCCCAGTAGGTTAAGGGTGACAGTGATGAAGAGAACAGCTTGACCAGGCTTATCAGAAGGGAAGAGTTCATAGGTGGGGTGTCAGGGCTGAACCATATCCTCCCTGCGGTTGATGTGTGGAGTCCTAATCACTAGCATCTCAGGACGTGACTATTTGGAGGCAGTGTTTAGAGAGGTTAACTTATAATGAGGCTGTGAACGTGGTCATTCATGTCATTATAAAAGGAGATTAGGAGCCAGATGATCTAAAACACATGCATCCAGAGGTGCAGTTGTGTGCCATGGCACTAGAGCATAGCTGTGCACAAAACAAAGAGGAAAACCTCAGAGGAGACCAAGCCAGTTAACACTTTCATATTACGCTTTAGCCTCAAGAGCTTGAAGCCATAGATTCATCACTAAGTCACCAATCTAGTACTTTCTGGAGGCATCTGCACCACACTAATGCCTGGAGTGTGGTTTTATACATAGGCGAAGGGCAAATGTCCCTGAGAATCCAAGGGAAGGTGCTGTGAGAGGGTTCTGTTGCCTTTACAGAGCTGCGTGTTTCCCAAAGCTGCTTCTCTAAGCTGCTGCTGAGGAAACCTAAGTCTCCTCAGACTGGTGGCTCCCCCTCAGCTATATTGCAACCTAGCCATAACCTGCATAATCACCCCAGCTTTGAAGTTATTGCAAATATTACAATGGTTGAACCAGGAAGTCTGCTTGGGTCCACCATGGTGTCACAGGACATTTTAGTTCCGTGCTATATAAGGAGGCCGGGGGTTCAGCAGCATGAATGAGAAGTCCCAGGGACCTGCCTCTGCGACCCATTCCAGCAGGGACTAGATACTGGACTGAAGGGAAGGTAAACAGTGTAGATCTTTTGCTTCTGAGGAGCTGCACACAAAGGAACAGGCACAAAAGCTAAGGTAAGCAGCAAAACTGATGTGTTGCTGGCCCTCTAAGGGATGAAGTTACTCAATTCTTGGTGAACAGATCTCATAGGAAGTGCTTTAGAGGAGATGGAGAACTGGAGCCTCTTGCCAAAGGAAAGCAAAGGGATTGTTGGACCTAAACACTGTGTAGTCTTGTGGGGGAGGGGGAGTCATACAGCCTCTTGGCCTGAATTCTTTTGAGATTAACATCTACCTTATATAGTAGTTATGAGACTCAGAACCTGAAACATGGCATAAGCTTGGCATATTTTGAATTTCTTGTTGCCCTGTCACATACAAAGGTTTAGAAGTATGCGGAGTATGTCTCATACATAGTTAACTATATTTGTTGAGTTTGCAAATAAGGAGAACCTACTAGAAGCTTTTAATATGACTATGGTCATTGTTGTAGCCAGTCGTCTACATATGGTCAAAGCCAATCTTTGTTTAGCATGTAGAGGTACACATTACATGTATGTATGCATATTATGTGTAAATGTATATTAAAATATACATATTAACTTTCTCATTACTAGGAACACATGTTTGAAGTCCCTAGGAGCTTTATACATACACTAATTGTCTCCCAAGGGTAAATAAGAGCTATGGAGGAAGGGGTAGGTTCATAAAAGGTACCAAAAGTGATTCTGATATGTCCATTACTCTGCTCAGCCCATCCTTATTCTCCTAGTTAATCCTAACTTTAATGTTCCATCATCAGTTGGCTATGGATTCAAAAAAAGAACTGCTACAAGTTCAAGTGTTTGTCCAAGAAAGAAGCATTCCACACCAGGACAAATTCTTTTCCTGACATACACTTGCATACTACTTTTTTTCCCCCTTTTCTACACATTGTTACAAGTAAGTATAGACCAATACCTGTTTGCCATTGTGAGTTACAGATGACAGGATTGTCCTCAAGGTTTTAAAGCCCATTGCAATATCCAATAGATGAGCAGCGAAGAAGAAGTTGTTGTAGTGGCCCAGGACAGACATGGTTGTGTACCAGGCAAGGTAGAGAAAGGACTGTAGAAATGGGAGAAAACTGGCATTTTCCAGGCATTCATGATATGATGCACTCATTAAACTACATTCCCCTCATTTTGAGGAACAACATGAAGAAAAGGGGGCATAGGTACTGGGGTGCTATAAGTTGTCCAAAGGTCTTACAACAGAGCCCCTTTCTTGTTATACTATTGCACAAGGCAGCGTTTTCCCCAGCACCTCTCAGGCACCTGATACATGATTACCCAGGGAGGCTGCAATGAGAAACCTCAGGGCTTGCTTATTCCCTGTGAATCCAACAGGATCCCCTGACTTAGGGCTCAAGATCCTGTTTTTTTCTGGTACTGTACTTACATTGTCAGTGAAAACCACCCCCAGCTTCCAAATATGGTACTTCATGTCGATGGAACTTAGCCTAAAGAGGAACAATAATTTCATAACTTAGAAATGTCAATGTTAGTTAAGTACTTAATAAAGGGGAAAATTTCTTAGGGTGAATAATATAAATACAGCTTCAACTTTTCTTCAAGTTACATAGACTTCTCAGCAACAATGGGGTTTGAATCATGCATCTGGAAACCTTAGTCTTTGGACTCTTTGGGGCATAAGAACTGATTGGCCATGAAATCCTTTAAAGCAGTCCTTTCCCAATTTGTAAGAAAACCAAAGACATGCTTTATTTTCCCCTCTAGCTCACTGGAGAGGATGGAAAACAAAGAATTTGTCTTTGCCACTTGGACTTGAGCTCCTGAGATCTGTACCATGACATCAGAGAGGCCGCCTCCACTTTGGTCTCTTCTACTGGGCTGAAGTCGAGGGCATTCTTATCCAAACCCAGGAGTTCAGCGATGCGCTCTGCTCCGTAGAGATCTCCATACTTGTTGATTACCTAGAGCAGAGAAATGGCAGGGTGGGCTATGGCTACACCACCACCTCCCAACTGTAATGTCTTCGGAGTTTTGCCATGCTGAATTTTTTCAACAGGCTAAACAAGATACCATTCCAAACTGACTGGAAAAGGAAAAAGTCACCCCTAGAGAAAATTAAAGAGATGATGGCAATCAAGGGGAAACTTCTTTTTAAGTTCCTGTCTTTCTGGAGAGAAAAGAAACCTAATGTGGAGAAAGCAGCGTGGGTTGTGTGCAAGTGCTGAAGGCAGACGAGGATGGGAGCAAAGCAGAGGCCCACATGTGCAAGACCTCTGCAGCTGAGTCTCCAGACGCCACCTTAAGCCTGACATCACTTTTCCTCATATTAGTACACGAAGAGTGTGGACAGCTCACCATGCGTGCGTACACACACACACACACACACACACACACACACACACACACACACACACACCTCCACCCCAAGAGAAGACATACCTTCCTCTTCACAAACTTGTCCCAATAGTTATTAGGAAAAGATCTGAAAACAAAGGCGAAAAGGACAGGTCCTTAATTATTAACTTCAAGGCAAACACATCACAAAACTTTCTAGTTTGAACATCTGGATCTGTGATCTTAGATTTCTGTCCTGCTCACTGATGTACGCAGGCTGGGATTGATGTTCGGAGTCATCCCAGGATCCTGCCTTACAGTTCTGCTGCTTTGTTTCAACTGAGGCACTTGGGAAGCCACTCTGCAGTTTCTGTCTCAAAATTGGGTTAAGAACAAGGAACCATGATGGCGCACCAGCAAGAAACATATGTTGTTGGTTTTTTGTTCTGGAAAACCAATCCTACTTTGCACACTCCCTTCCCTGCTCCCCTTGTGCCGTGCTCCTGGATAAGCGTGTTACCACAGCCCCAGAGGACCTCATCATCACCCTCTGCTGGTCCTCCAGGGCCACAAATCCAGATGTATTTTGGCCCATCTACCTGGATCCCAGTATACACCAGAAACAAAAACCAGAAGGAAATGTATGTTTCCCATTCCGTGACTGTCAGTGACTGGGGAGATGGGATGGTGAGGGGTGTGCCGGGACACACAGACAAGCTCTCTTAAAAGAGTTTTTATTAACCCCATGACCCTCTACTCACTGTCATCACTGTGTACTCGTGTGGTACCTACTTCCTTCCAGGACTTAGATCCTTTTCTTCTAGAGGTGGCATCTTGTTTTCATGACAGCCCAGCCCTCTCAGAGGCATCATGTTTCTCTGCCTGGAATTTTCTCTAGTTCCATTCCAAGTGTTTTCTTTTCATTAAACAAACAAACAAAAACTGCCATCCTTTGGAATGTTAGCAAAAATGTTTAAAATGTGTTGCATCCAGCCAGAATGAACAGACCCTTCCTGGGAGGGCTTCCCATAGGGCTGCTTTTGGAGCAAAACCAACCCTTGCTGTGTGCATTCTTACTTTTCCTTTCTCTGGGTCATCCTTTGTGAGTTTGAGTCACACAGAAGTCTCCAATCCTATAAAGACCAGCAGCTCATGATAAGAAAGTCAAGACCTTTTTCTCCCAAAAGGATGGCCATCTTGAGGATAAAATTATTTTCCACAGATTTGTTTTAGTTGTTAAAATCACTTATTCCTCTTAATGATCTAATTGCCAATTAAAAACAAATGCTGGTACTATAGAATAAACTGCCAATAGACATATTTATAAGATCAAAATTACTTTTACTCTCTTCAGTGTACATTGCTACTTGATTTTTTTATGCATGACATTTAGAGTCTACAAGAGTAAAAATCAAGCCATCTTTCCTCCACTACCTTGAACCCCACCCCCATTTTTTCTTGTCTCTTTTTTAGATAGGGTTTTATTGTGTAGCCCTGGCTGAGATAGACCTCACTACACAGAAAAAGCTAGGTTCAAACTTAAATCATCTTCCTCTCTGTTTCTAAGTACTGGGATTATACATCTGGGTCACCATGACCAGCTTTCTCCAGCACACACCTTGTCTCTTGGTCCTGGTTTTGTACTGAGTAGAATATTTCACAATAAATGCTAAAGGGCTGTGTTTAAGACAATTTCATGGACATGATCTTATCTTGGTCTCAATTTTGAGTGGCTTGTCCCCTTACTAAGGCTAAGGTCAAGAAGTTCCTTGAAGGTAGAACATACATTTTTACATCATTATTTTCTTTAAGCCCTAGAGAACATACTTGCAGAAGAAAATGTGTAAAGAATATGCTTAAATCCTTAGCCTCTGTAGTAATTGGCAAATGTACAATGAGGTGCCATGACACCCCTACCAGATAACCAAAATTCCCTGACTCAGTGCTGGCAAACAGGCACAGAAGTAGAAAGTGTCTGTATAGCACTGTTTATAACGTATCCTGGAACAAGCGTTTTCCACACCTTTCTCTCGAGCAAACTCCCCTCAGAGGAAGAGCTCTTTCACTTATGCACAGACGCAGGGGTTTTCTGGTAGTGCTGTTTTTAACAGTGGGAGCCAGAAGCAGATGAAATATCTACTATCAGGAAAACGCACCAATTCTTGCTTGTAAATACACTTACATGGAAAACATTAGTTTGGGGGACAACTTGTCAACATAGGCGAGTTCACTGAGAATCAGAAATGACACATAATGATGAATAAAAGATTCTCTACCATTATAACATACGTAACATGACAATCCCATGTACATAGAGTCTAGAATATTTAAAGTGAAATCCTGTGTTTAGGCACAAAGAAGTAGTTAAAATGTAAGTTAAAGCAAGATAATGACCCCATACATACTAGCACTAGCAACTACTTAATGATCAATTCTGTTGACCACTAGTGGATATGACGGAATATGTTAGTTATGGGAGCATGGCTGGGAGGACAACACGGCTTTCAAGCTAGCAACGATGTTCTAATTTTAATCTCTGTGGTTTGTTACTCTATTAAAATAAATGCACATATTTGATAGATCCTTGTGTATGTGTGTGCCTCACAATATAAAAACATGTAAACTCAGAGTAGACAATAGGCACCAAGACCCAGTAATTCTATGTAGCACAATAGGACAAATACAGTCTATAACAACCCATTATCAGTTCAGAATAACTAGAGAAAATGTAAAAGTTCCCAGACCAGAAGTGATACTCTTAGTCCATAGAAATGCCCCTTATTTGATAATATACATATGTTGAATTACAACACTCTTTTCATAAAATAAGTAAATATTAAATTATGTCTCATTTAAATTTTAATTTACAACCAAACTTTAAGAAGAGACAAGGCATCTATGCGCGACTGTGGTAGAGTGAGAAGCTATGGACAGGACTGCCCCTCCCATGATGCCCTTGCTGTGAAAAAAAAAATCAACTTTTACGATAGTTGTTCTACTTGTTCATGGATGTCCCTGCTCACAAATAAACAGTACTGGCCGATCTCGCCTTGGAACACGAGTGCTTTGTTCTCGGTGTCTCAGGTAAGTTCTAGAAACAGAACGGCCTTTTTTTACTAGCATTTTCCCATGGTATCACATTGTCCCAGACGCACATGTCCTGGATAACCAGACAGAACATTTCTCAGAGTATTAAAGTACTCAATATTATCCAAAATGTCTGTAACTTAATGGCATAAGATGAGAAAATTAATCCGCTTTTGTTGCTTCTCCTTCTATGAGGAGATGGACAGGAATCTGCAGGCAGGGACAGAGGTTAGATATTTATTGCTCCTATTATTTCTCCCAAAGCCTTCCCTTCCTAGAGACTGATTAGTTTGGTTCTACCTATCTAGACCTGCCTCTCAGTTTCCTTAATCATCGTAGAGTAGGAAATAATTCCGCTAGAGTCAGGATCCTATCTACTATGCGTATCTTAATTGAAACAGCAGCAAGTTTTAACATGGTTGCCTTTGCTCATGCGTTCACTTCTATTTCTTTACTCTCACGACCAGAGTTTATCTTACAGTTTTCATAGTTGTGAATTATTGGTATTAGAGCATGCCATATGCCCTTGGTGATAACACAGACACTTGCTTTCATAGGATCAGAATGAAGGGCACTTACGGTGTGTTGATCACCAAGCGGTCCCACTGCCCCTTGATGTCATCTTCAGATGGCTGTTCGGTGATATACAGACCATCAAACTCTAGCTTCCTGGCAATTTCTTTCTCCCTTTTGAAGACTACCAGAGGCACCTGCAAATGAAAAGATACTCATTACCTAGAGGTTTGTGCCTAATGCTCCTTTCCCGGGACCTGTCACAAATCAACCTTCCTGAGTAATGGCAGTAACCCTTTATACTGGGATTTAATGCATACTTTAATATCTATATATTAAATACAAGCATGTATGTCTGTGATCCATTTGCATGCCTAGTGCCCAAGGAGGTCAGAAGAGAACATCAGATGCCCTGAAACTGAGTAACAGGTGGTTGTGAGCGGCCATGTGGTTGCTGGGGCTCAAATCCAGTTCTTCTGGAAGAGCAGCAAGTGCTCTTAACTGTTGAGCCTTGTCTCTAAGCCCTGTACTGGAATTTTTACAGTAACTAGCTGTACAGCCAATACTAAGTAAATTTCACTCCTTGGCTAATACACCTACCCCTCCAAAAGTTGAGCTGATCTGAGCCACCCTTGAAGGTTAGACAGCTGACTATAGTAAGATGTGCACAAATCCTGAAAAGACCATGTTTACTTCCAGACTTGAATGGGATTTGTCTACTAGGACTTCCAGGCTCAGAACTAAACCAAGAAATAGAAAGGACAATGAACTATTCTAGAACAGACTGGTCAGCCCCAAGAATGTGGGCAGTTTCCCAACAGTCACCAGCAGTGAGGGTCAGATTGATGCCGTAGGTTAGTGCATGAACTGTGTTTAGACAGTTACAGTGACAGAGTTCAAAGGATTCTGTGCGTACTCGCTACACACTGATGTTTTCTTCCTTTCAGCGAACTGGATCTTCTCTGCTACTAGATCCTGTCATTCTCTTACACAACAGACCTGCCTATTTTGTGGGCGACACATTCCCAAACACCCAGGGAATCCCTGAAAACATGGGCAGAACCGAACTTGTATGCACTGTGCTTTCTCTTAGACATATATGAAGTTGATGGCCTTTTCCATCTTAACTGCCTATTACGTGCTGTGGCTTTGACTTTTGCAGACTGAGGTGTGGCAGTAAAGCAGTTAAAAAGGAGCTCACTTTTCTCTTTTTCCGCTCCATGACTTTATGGATAGAGATGCTCTGACAGTAGATCTTAGCAACCTCGTCTGATTTTCTTTCCTTATTAAGAGCTGTCACATCTTCACTTGACCATTTTATGTCTTCTCTTTAGCACTGCAGAATGTTCAGTATCAGTACCCTTGCACTCTGGATGCCATTATTAAGTAAAATAAGAACTACTCAAATATGAGCACTGTGCTATCCTGCCAATCAGTGTGATAACTGAGAGGGATAAGTGCCTAGCGGGAGGGGGTGGGGGCGGGGGGGGTAGAATATACTGTGTGAATACACTGGACAAAGGGGTGATTTATGCTCCATACAGGACAGAATAAGATTGTGTAGAGCTTCACCCTACTACTTAAAATAGCATATAATTTAACATTTATATGTTGCTTATTCATTGAACTTTTACTTAATTTGAGACCACAGTTTACTGTGAGTAGCTGAAATCATGAATTAAAGGGGTATATGGGTAGTTGTAGTACATAATTGTAACTTTTTAAAGACAAGATCTTATTTATGTAGTTCAATATGGTCTGGAAATCATGATTTAGTCTAGTGTGATCTCAAATTCATGGCAGTCCTCCTATTTCACCCTCCTATTTCACCAAGAACCAAAATAAATCCTTCCTCTCCTAAACTGCCTCTATTGGGTGTTTTGTCAGGGCAATGGGAAAATTAACCAATCAAGTTATACATAAATATAACCAGAGATCAGCACAAACAGGGATTACAAGCAACCCTTAACTAATGGGAGATTTAGAGAAGACAGAAAATGCTCTTGAAATCCCAGGAAATGAGAAGTCAGAATAGCTAGATCTCTTCTAGCCAAACAAATAATAATCATTTATACACAGACTAGGGATCTAATTTATTTAGGATGTCTCTAATTACTTGGTGACATCTTTGGGACTTGAGTTTCCAAACTATGTTTTAATGTTTTTCCTCAAAGGTCATTACAATCATATCACTTACCCTGTTATTTCAGGGACAAAAGGGCAAGAATTATTTCTAAAACCTTACTTCTTGCCCCCCTGCCTCCCTGAAAACAGCAGACAATACTGGAGACCAATGACAGGAAGGTGGCAAAGGGGCTGACACTGGGCGTGACACACCGTGAGGAGCCAGTGGCTGCTGCTGGCTCACGGGTGGCACAGGCAGGGAAGCAGAGCTGAAGCTGATCTGCTGTCTGCTTGGAAGATGCTAGAAAATAATGTGATCACCAAGATACAGTCCACTCCTGATATCCAGGTGACAGACACTCCGCTTAGTCCTTCAAGGTGTTTGCACATCTTTCGAATTTTAATCCACTCTGTCTTCTACAGGTCACCAGTGTATCTGCACCTCATCCCACAAGCTCTTGGATTTCAGATCCAGAAATAGCAAACATGCTTCTGGGTTTACTGTTGCCCATTTTCTTGGTATTTTTGTACATATGAATGCACTTATTTTTCTGGAATGTAGTATTATTCTAATACTCATTTTTGATGTAGAAACAGCACTAAAAAGGTCACATGGCCCAACAGTGAGGAGTCCAATCCAGACAGCCTGGCTCCAGAGTCCACGCTTTAAGGGTTACAGTGGCAGACTCCCTCCAGCAGGGAAACACATCACGTGTTCTCTCCAGGAGAGGAGGTGAGTTCTCACGTGTTGCTATTTTACCAGGAGAAGAAAGGGACACAAAGATAGGAATATATTTCTTGGATTCATTCCAAGAAGATAACTTACTGCTATAAATTAAAGGGGAAAATGTAACGAAAATAAAGTTCTTGTAAAAACTGGTGTGATGGTTAAGCTTGGTTCTCAACTTGACAAGACTTAGCATTGCAAGGAGACAGACAACTAGGCCTGTCTGTGAAGGTGTTTCCAGAGAGTAAGTTTAAGTGATGAGAAAAGATACACCCTGAGGGTTGAACTGATGAGGAAAGATATGCCCTGAAAGTGGCTGACACTATCCCATGGGGCTCGGGTCCTGGACTGAGTAAAAAGGAGAAAGTGGGTGGATCACCAACATTCGCGGTTTTCTGACGGCAGTGTGAACAGCTGCCTCCCTCCTGCTACCACAGCTGGACCATCTCTCGCTGCTGTACCTTCCCCACCACGATGGATTACACCGTCAAACTGTGATCCAAAATAGGACAAGTGTTTTTATAGCAACAAGAAAAGTAATTTATCCAGTCATGGTGTAGAAACAGAAATGAGCACAGAACACAAAACTGAAGGAATGAAGATCGAGGTACCTGCAGTCGTAGCTAAAGGTGGCCCAAATGAATGGTGCTGCCTTGTTTATGACTTGAGCAACCTCCAAAGGCAACTGTGAATCTGGGCCATCATGTGACTTGCTTTAACCAATAGAGGGTGGTGGAAATGACATCGATAATCTCAGGCCTGATTCTTCAGAGGGGCTAGCATTTTCCACTTCTGTGATCTTCAGGGAAATTCTAAGTCATTCAGAAAAGAAGTCCACCCTCCTGCAGAGATTACATGGAGGGGCCATGAGGAGTGGGAGATGCTCTGTGTCTACATGGAGAGAGGGGAGATGGACTCCCACTATTCCAGCTGAGACCTGCTTCCTAGCTGTTCATCTGGACACAGGAACACACCATCCTCGCCATTCTCACCTACTTGAGATCCCAAAAGACTGCAGACATAACCCTTTCGCATGGAGCAGAGAATGGCTGACGTGTCCACAGACTGAGAGGGAGAAGGGGCTCGAGTGGTTTGTTATGTAGGTAACTGAAACTGGAGCACATCTCTGAGATCTATCTTAGGTTGTCGTCATTTGAGACCCAATGGAAAGGTACTTTTTATAAAAATCTGACAGCAACTCAGAGATCACAAGAAGCTCTTATGGCTAATGTCCTTTGTGCCTTGGTGTAATGACTCTGATACTGAGGTGTCTGGAACGCTTCTCCTGCAGCAAGATTGTCTATAGCTCACTTTGCAGATTTTCATTTAGAAGCCTCAAGTCGATGATTGAGACCCTGCAGTTGCAAGCAGTCCCTGAGGGACAACACTTGTAATGTCCCACCAGCTTTGCACTTCAAGCAAGAGGACAAAGAGCTGGTGGAACTCAAAAATGACACTTCTTCCTCAAGAAGTCAGAAAAGACACAGAGGGACAGATGGCTAGAATGCTCACCTTCAGGCAGTAATATCCCACCACACAGACCAGAGAGATGATGGTGTGGACAATGGCCAGGGCACGCAGGGTTGGGGCCATATACCCAGTGCTCTCCTGAAGAACAAAGAATACCATTGCTTCGTCCTCATCTTCATCATTAAAGGAGTTCCACAGGTTTGCAACATCCTCTGTCTCTTCTTCCAAAGGTTCTTCAGTGACCTGGCCCAAGACACACACCCATAACTAATCAGAAGGAGGCTCAGTCACTGGGCTCTTCCTATAGAGTTTATGTTAACACATGCAAATGTTAAACAACCCAATGTTACCTGCTGTGTAAAGGGGGCCTTTAGGTAACTTACTGATAGGAATCCCCAGTGTTTCTAATAGTTGCAAATACGAATTAGGTAGAGACAAATCCTATCTCTTGAAAAGGAAGCAAAAACATTAAATTATGGGCCTTTTATTATCTGTGTTGTAATTCTATGGTGAAGGAGAAAGGAGCAACAGGTACACGTGGAGCACAAACACAATTTACACACATTTCATAGTTTCCATTCTTCCCCTTATTCATGGCTTCCCCTTCTGTTTCTGCAAATGACTCTCAGCTTTTATCCTATAGCTTTAAGTACCTGTTGGCGGTCTCCGCCTGCATGGATGGATTCCCCTCAACCTTAGTATGTTTTAAATCAGCTACACACACTTTACTATAGAATACCGCTTTTCTTCTATGAGCAACAAAAGTCAGTAGTTTGTCAAATTGAAGGTTGATGTGGAGGAAACACTGTTTTGTAACAAGTTGGGTTGTTAGTTTTAGAACCATCAGAAAGACAGAAAAACTATGTCAAGAATCTATGACTGTTCTTTAATTCATTAGCAACCATTTACATGCAACATGCAAGACCCACTCATCCATGTTCAGAATCTTCAATTATGGTGAGGAGATCCTGTGTCCCTAACATTATTAATATTTCCTTCATGATGGTTTTTCATATGTTCCAACACCCCTGGATCCTATGATAGCCTATTTCTCAAGGAAAGAACTGATTTCCTTCCTTTCTTCCTTCCTTCCTTCCTTCCTTCCTTCCTTCCTTCCTTCCTTCTTTCCTTCCTTCTTTCCTTCTCTCCCTTCCTCCCTCCCTCCCTCCCTTCCCTTCATTCCTTCCTCTTCCTCCCTTCCCTTTCTTTATTTTGGTTTTTTGAGACAGGGTTTCTCTGTGGTTTTGGAGCCTGTCCTGGCACTAGTTCGTTCGTTCGTTCGTTCTTTCTTTCTTTCTTTCTTTCTTTCTTTCTTTCTTTCTTTTTCTTTTCTTTTTCGAGACAGGGTTTCTCTCTGTGGTTTTGGAGCCTGTCCTGGAACTAGCTCTTGTAGACCAGGCTGGTCTCAAACTCACAGAGATCCGCCTGCCTCTGCCTCCCAAGTGCTGGGATTAAAGGTGTGCGCCACCACCGCCCGGCTAAAAATGTGTAGCCCAGGCTGGCCTCGAACTCATGATCCTCCTGCCTCTGCCTCCTTCAGCAAATCCTACCGGTGTGCGCCACCACTACCGGCCTGGCACTAGTTCTATAGACCAGGCTGGCCTTGAACCCATAGAGATCCGCCTGCCTCTGCCTCCCGAGTGCTGGGATTAAAGGCATGTGTCACCACTGCCTGGCTATTATTTGTTCAAAATGTCCCATAGTTCTTATCATGGCATCAATACATGGGGCACACTCAATATTTGGAGATTAAATCACACAGGAATCCAAATAGTTGAAACAGTTTCCTAATTTGTTGTCCTGTTGGCAGTTCTGTTGCTAAACATTTTTTTAAAAGGTCATTGCCCTAGAAATTTCCTTGGACCTTAAGTTTTTGTTCCAAGTAAGACTAACAGTTTTGGTTATAGTTTTCCCCTATGTATGGCATGCTTAGTCTGTTGCATATTTGGTAAATAATCCCTTAGTGAAGCATCACCTTATAAAAAAGCAGGATGAAGTTGATAGCGAAGGCTACAAACAGAGCAAGGAACCTCAGGTTGTAGAAATTCCTGGCCAGGTAGTGCTGAAAAGAAAAAGATAAGGAGAAGTAGAAGAGGCAAAGGCAGGAAGGAGAGCCTCCCTGTCTGACACTGAAAGGCGTGCCCTGGGTGGAGGTTTACAAGGGTAGCTGTGCCTCAGTGCCTACTCTACTAGCGAGGCCCTGCCCTAGTTAGTATAAATTGTTTATGGGGAATCAGAAATATCAATTCTTTAAAAACAGCTTAGGAGAATGTCTGAAGGAAATCTTACCTTGGATCCTGTCCCAGTAAACCAGATCTCTCAACATGCCACCAGCAGAGAGTCAAGCAGTTCCCTCCCCTGTATACATGCAGCCAGACTGTGGACCAGAGTTCATGTCCCTTTCTGAATCATGGCCCTAGGAACCTCCTCCGCCCACTTTCTCAGAATGTACCATTCTCCTCACTGCCGTCTTTTCTGGGAAACAGCACACGGAGGATGGAGCTGCAGCAGCTGGGGAAGAGCTCGACACTGCCTGGGGCCACACTGACAGTTGCCACCTACAGTGAAGGCCTGGGTCCTACAGTGCAGGCCTGGGTCCTACAGTGCAGGCCTGGGTCCTACAGTGCAGGCCTGGGTCCTACAGTGCAGGCCTGGGTCCTACAGTGCAGGCCTGGGTGAGCAGCAAGTGAATCTTGGGGCAGCTGATCAGAAAGAGAACATTACATACTATACTGAAGCTTGCTTATGCCTACAGTAATGACGTTTTGAGGGCTAACTGAGCAACATAACCTAATACAGGAAACTTTTTTCTTCATCCCAATTGATTGACCTACTTAAATTTTGAACCAGGATCAGCTAAGTCCCCATGAAAATTCACATTAATGTGCTTGGGAGTCGTGTCCAGGTAAACCCTCATTTTCTTTAACACAAGAGAAAGAGGAAGATGAACAGGAAGAGAAGTATGGAAATAAGAAAGTGGAGAAAGTGCGTCCAAGGAAAAGTGACACAAATCAGTGGCCAGCTCCGAGGTCCACTGGGCCAGCGCCTCTAGCAGAAAGGAGGAAGCGTCAGAGAGCTTACCAGTAACTTGGTCTGATAGATTTCCAGTCCCTTGAAGAAATTGGCCATGAAGGCTTCCGGCTTCTCAGCCTTCTGGCCGCGCCGCCGTGTCTTCTTCACAGTCATCTCTGTCCACAGGTACTCGGCTTGTCTGTCCTCCTTGATTTTGTCTTCCTTTTCTCTGTCTTCCATGCTGCAGAGGTGAGATGCCAACTCAGCATGTGGGAGAAAGGCGGGTCAAGCTTGGTCCTCATCAACCTACTTACTGGGCATGAAATCTACATTCAATGAGTAGGGATCATTTTGATGATCCAACGTGTACAATGGATATAATATGTGTTTTTGCTGTTTGGGAATTAGACTTAACAATTCTTTATTTTCTTCTTCAAAAATATTGTCCTTTTCTTACTAAGTAAGTCTTCTTAGGATTAGCAATGGTGCCTCCTACTCCTATAAACTTGGGCAAGAATTAAATGTGATGTCTAAAAGAGCCATCTTAGACTTAGGTACAGGCCTGCCATAGAGTAGTTATTCAATAAACACCACAGATGGTCCACCATCAATGTTATATGAAGTCACTAAATGTGGATGTTTGATAATCTGTCCAGTCAATGAAACCCTGCTGAACTGTCAGAATTATAAAGTTAATAAGTGTATTACACAGCTGAGATAAAAGAAACGAAGAAAAGGAAATATGCCCAGGGCTTATAGAATACCTGTTGCTTGCGCTGATAGAAATCAGGTTTCTATTTACTGCAGTTATAGAACGGCAACTGCCAATCAAACGTTGTCCACCAACCACAGCAAGCAGAGCATCCACGCCCCTAGGGACTTACTCAGCCTTCTCGGATTCAACCTTTCCTTCGGCTTCACGCACTGCTTTCATCTCTGCAGCCTGGATCCAAAAACAGCAACCAGTCAAGGCTCCTCAGAAAAACAAGTCCAGGACAAACCTTTCTCTTTATGGTTACAAGTTCTAGAGTGTGTGTGTGTGTGTGTGTGTGTGTGTGTCTATTTCTGTCTGTTTTAGTTTCTCTTAGGATTGCAGGGCATAAAGTGTCTTGCTGTCCACTGTCCTTCAAACCTGCTGCTACGAAGAGATGCCAAGACAGATCTCAAACCTAAAAATTTACTTGTCTTCCAGTTATTTACTCAACCCAAGCAGGAAACTTATACATAAACCTCAAGGAAGCACTATGGAAGCAGGCAGGAGGTAGGTCATGGATCACCGGGTGTCTAATCTGGAATCCCTCTCTATCTGACAATCCTCCAGCCTGTCCCCAATCCTCCTGTCACTTCCCTGGTCCCTCTGGCTGATAGCCACCACACTCAGAATGAAACCAAGCTCCTCAGCGAAGCCAGTCTATACTGTAGGGTCATAGCTTTCTTTCTATCGCTACTGTTTTTCTATTCAAATGCTCCAACCTTTATTCCCATGGAAGGGAGTCTTGAGCCTTCTGCACACTAGGGACTTCTTAGTGGTCTGACCCTGGCTTTCCATATGTCTGCCATGCTTGAGGATTTGGCTCAGATCTCATATCTTCAGGAGCCTTTGTGGCTGCCCTGTTTAGAGCAGATGCTATCAAGAATCACGTATTTATCCAGAGGACCTAGATGACTCTTCCATGTCCCTTCTAACCCACTGGTGTGTTTATTAACCGGCACAAAAATCACCAGTGGTAATTATCTTACTTACTTGTTATCTTTTCCCACTTGAGACTAAGTTCTATGAAAGCAAAACTAGATTTTGTTAACCAGAGCATAGTCTAGTGCATGTAGTACCTGCATTAGTCTCTAACTTTTGTCAAATGGTCCTATGTCATGAGCCTATCCAAGAGGCAATGCAAAATAAATGATACAATAAGGACACCTATGCTGGTGCCTCCCTCTCTGGCTCTCCACACCTCTCTTTCATTGTCTAATACTTCCTTCACAGCATCCTTCTTATTTGCACCAAGTTGCTCAGTATATGTCTTTTCTATAAAATTTCTCAGTTGTCACTCAATTCTCAGACCCTCGAATAGTGACATGTGCATGTTAATGTGTCAATAGGTGATAATGGAATTAATTAATGGATATGGTCTTTGTCTGCACTCTCACTTCTTCCTTTGATGCCAAAATGGCATGGCAAGTTGGATGCTGTAAGAGAAGGAAACATCCAGAACATTCTGTGGCCAATGGCCTCTAAGTTACTTTTGTCTTATCCATTCAATCTAGTTGACTGACTCAGAGTCCTAATGATAAAAATGTTCCAGGCATGATCAGACTCATGGTAATAGGTTGTCAATAGGTAGTAGTAATTACCATCATCAATATCATATGAAGTTGTAAGGAGTTTTTAGTAACCTTTCTAGCTAGTGAAACTCTGATCTATTGGGATTATAAAGTTACCAAGAGAAACAGAACATATCTATTACAGAGCTTTGGTGAAACGGAATCACAGCTTACAGGGTATATAGAAATACTGCCTCATATTCAGGAGGATGCCTATATGATTTTCTTTGGGTTCTCCTTCTTATTTAGCTTCTCTAAGAACCCGAATTATAGGTTCAATGTCCTTTATTTATGGCTAGAAACCAAATATGAGTGAGAACATCCCATGTTCCTTCGATGAAAGGAGACAGAGACAGAGACCCACATTGGAGCACCGGACTGAAATCTCAAGGTCCAAATCAGGAGCAGAAGGAGAGAGAGCACAAACAAGGAATTCAGGACCGCGAGGGGTGCACCCATACACTGAGACAATGGGGATGTTCTATCAGGAACTCACCAAGGCCAGCTGGCCTGGGTCTGAAAAAGCCTGGGTCAAAACTGGTCTCGCTGAACATAGCGGACAGTGAGGACTACTGAGACCTCAAGAACAATGGCAACGGGTTTTTGATTCTACTGGACCTATTGGTTTCGTGGGAGCCTAGGCAGTTTCGTGGAGGCTCACCTTACTAGACCTGGATGGAGGTGGGTGGTCCTTGGACTTCCCACAGGGCAGAGAACCCTGATTGCTTTTTGGGCTGACGAGGGAGGGGGACTTGATTGGGGGAGGGGGAGGGAAAGGGGAGGCGGCGGTGGGGAAGAGACATAAATCTTTAATAAATAAAAAAAAAAATAAAAAAAAAGAAAAAAAAAGAAAGCATAGGAGAAGTTGAAGTGGGGGGGAAATGAAATGGTGTAAATATAATTCTCATGCATGAACTACTTTAAAAAAAATAAAACATCCAAATCAAATTAAAAAAAAAATACCGCCTCATAAGAAATCTCCTCATTCATTACATCTGGTATTCCGTGCTTTCACTGAATCAACCTGTGCACCATGAACACTAACTTAATAAAAGTCTGAAGCAGGCGAAGGTCTCAGATCACCGTATGTTCAAGCTCTACAGTGCAGAATAGAAGTCTTCCTGGTGACTAAGCACGGAAATACCCACCCAAGTCACCATGTCCTCATACCTGGCAAATCTGGAATGTCAGAATAACCTTATCTGAACCAGCATCAGTGTTATGACCTGTGCAAACCACATACAGATTGTAAAGGACAACAGAGACTATGATTACCTGTGCTTTCCTTTTCTTCCGCACAGTACTCTCTAATGTAGGGGGCTCATCCTTGCCGACGATTTCAGAGAGGTCACCCAATCCCACTTCAGGCCCTTGCTTTAAGCCACTGTCTTTCTTTGAGTGGATTCCAAAGAGGTCGGACATGATGTCTGAATCTCCCGGCTCCCCCTTTACGAAGTGGACCAGTTCAGTGGTGACACCCGGCTCAATCATGTCTGCTCTGTCCGCCTCCATGGCGTCATCATGGATCCCAAACTGGGTGGGGTCAGGCATGTCGCCTAGGATCTTAGTCACTCGGATGTTCTTTGCCCCTTCAACGAGGCCCCCACCAAACACTGTGTTCCAGAGGATCTGAAAGATGCCTCCCAAGATAGAGAGGAGCAGCTGGAAGAGGCCCACAGACAGCATCCAGAAGAAAGAGACAAAAACCTTCACCAGCTCCTTCGCACTCATCTTTTTGACATTTCGGTACTGTTTCCTGAGGTTCTTCAGCGTTGCCCTCTTCAGAAAGTTGGTGACATTTCTCTTTGCTGAGGCACAGGCCATGGCAAAGGCAGAGGCAGGCTCCATAGACCTGTCCTCCTCTGCCTCTCCTTCCATTTCCATCGTATAAGCAGACTCTTCACCCTCTTCCTCTTCCTCTTCCGGTCTGTCGGTTGAGTCGGATTCTGAGATCTGAGATGCTAACTGCATCTCGAAGATTGTGTCCTCGCAGAAGTTCACAAACAGCTCCATCTTCTCCTGCTCCCCACCTTCATTGACGACATCAAAAATGAACTGTCGCTTGGACTCCTTCACTTGAGGCTTTTCCCACTGAGTTCGACTGGATTCGCTGATCTCAAAATAAACACGTTCAATTTTCTTGGCCCCACCCATGATCTCGATTCGACCCAGGTATGGTTCAAAGTAATTTAGCACACTTTCTGCTGGGTCCAACAGGCACTTCAAGCGAGAATCATTGGGCATGTGTTCAGAGAGATTGGTCAGTAACACGGCCACATTGAACCCTATGTCCTTGGCTGGCTCGTGGAACCGTTCTACAAAATCAATATAATTAAACATGTCATTCTCGTCAGCCTCTGTACACGAAAGGAGGAAGTCGATCTCCGACTGTGTGTATTGCTTTAGACCTTCCATGGCCTTCTGGAATTCTTTCCTGGAGATGATCCCTTTACCATCCGGGTCATATTCTTTGAAGGTGTCTGAGCTGGTTAAGTCTTTAAGTTTCAAGAACATGTCAAAGAATTTCAAGATCATCTCTACATTAGTGGATGATTCTACCAGTGTGTCAACCATCTGCTTTCCAATAGTTCCGTTTACCACATTTCCTGTGAGGCGGGTTCAAAAAGACATACAAACAAATACATCAATGAACCCAGGCTATCGTGTAACGTGGCAGGTTGCTCTTTTTAGGAGACTTATGTGCCAAATTAGTCAGTTCATTTCCGACCATGTTGATTTGAAAAATAGTTAGAGAGCAGCAAGCCATTACAACAGCCCACCAGGAGCCAAGGGAGAAGAAACCAGGACGAGAGGGAGATGGCCACACCATTGCCTTGTTTCTGCCCCGGGGCCTAGGAGGTGGTTCCACTATCAGATCTCTGGGAATAAGGAGGAATACATGGTGTCCCTTTGACCCCTTTGACCTGAGAGGTTGCCCAATTAGATGGCTGGCATACACACTGGCAGCCAGCTGTGTCGAAAAGCAATGGGGAGAGGGAGAGGATAGGGAGGGGCAAAGCTTAGAGGTTTTCCCCAGTTCATTCTGGCTTTCCTATTGGCATCAAATGAGTTGGTTTCAAGCCTTGTCCATCAGACCATGTGCCCCTCATTTATTTTTTTTTCTTTCTCAAAATTTGTCATTATAACCAATGTCTTATGACATCAGTGACCTGTCAGAAGGATAATCTGTGTGATTAGCAAGGTTAGTGCTCAGACCAATTACAATAATGTGAATGCCTAGTTATACCAAACAGCCCAACCTTCCAGTAGGGACAGAAGCATCACCACCATGTCCTGAAGGAGATCCAAGAGTTCCTTCAGCAGCTCGATCTGACTGGAATCCTAGAACAGAAACAGGAGATACCCTGAGCTATCTGAGCCCTCAGCAAAGTTCAGGGCAGTGAGCAAGAAGGGCCTGCTCTGGGAAGGTTAGGTGAGGGCTGCATCCAATCAGGAAGGAGCTCCCTTCTTGCTGTGAGTGAAGGTGGCTTTTACCCACTGCCTGTAGGACAGGGAGACTCATCCATCAGTGCCCCTTCACATTCTCCTTGTACAAATGTGCCAGATAGACTGACTGTTACCTCAATGATTCCTAACAGCCCCCATCCACTGAAGAACCATCAGGAACGTTCTCAAGTTTATTTTATCATTTTCTATACTGGAGGATTATCTCCCGTGAGCTTCATGGGAGATATTACTTTAATAAGGAAAGATTAGTTTACCCAGTAGATTCTCCTTTCTTCCTGGATTAGTTTAACCTAGTTGCAGTTGGTGGTGATCAGGGTGTCATTGAGTTTATAGAATAATATATAAGCACAGTGACTCCTCTGCAGGCTCTTGAAGCTCTGTTTGGTTTTAATTCAAGCAATGCAGGCAGAGTTCTGCAAGACAAGCTCCGCGCTGCAAACGCTTTGGCATGTATAGGATGGTAGATAAAGATCTCATCTAAGGGTGAAATGAAAATTAGAAAAGGATGCTTAGCAGAATAATCTGCAGGTAATTTTGAAAACTTTTCTTTGGGCCACACTTCTTTTACGGATTCTTCCTCCCTCTTGTAGAAAGACACAGCTGGTTGCCTAGCCGTTCAGTGCCCCGAGGGACTCTTCCCTACCTACTGGGCGTCATAGCTGCATTCGGAAGGAAGAAAAAGGAGCCGTAGCGGCACAGAGCAGTAGAGCTGAGAAGAGGCCTCCGAGGTCATTCCTTCTAACCCTGAGTATTTTACAGATGATGAAAACCGGAGCCAGAAGTCACTGATGTGGAGGGGGCAGGGCAAGGGCTCTTCTCTCCAGAGCCTCTCCCGCATACTGCCATGGCTGACACAGACGTGGACACGCTACTGCCAAATTAGTAGCCACACTCCCCTCCCCCCAGAACGCTCTTCCCGTAAGGCCAGAGTCAAAAGGGGAAAAAAATGAAGGGTTACACAGCACATTCCAAAAGAGAGGAGGCAGGTATGATAGCCTTGAGATTTTTAGATGTACATTATTTAAATTAATGCTGCAAATGTCCCTCTAATCAGTCTGAAACACATCTTGAAGTGCTCCCTTGGGTGTTGCCATGGAGAGAGGCGATCAGCTGCTATGTATGCTACATTTATTTGTTCATAATAAATGCTCAGAATGATTCTGATTCATCTTTCCAGAGAGATGGGGAGAAGGAAAGGTAGAGAGGGGGAAGGAGGGAAAGCAGGGGTAAGGGAGGGGGCGTTTGTGAATGACAGACATGCAACATTTGGAAGGTGAGAAAGGTCGGGGGATGGTGTTCTAAAATGACGAGACAGTGACATGGAAGGGATTGTACCGTGGAAAGCAGTGTGGAGGCAGTTACAAAATGAGAGATTGGTGGGAAACAAGGAAGAAGCTGCATTCGTGCAAAAGCCCCTCTGGGATCCCCCCACCGCAGGCATTCATCCCTGTTTCTGGGTTTGGTCCTCAGTTTTAAGAATGAGACCTAATCTGCTTGGCTTTTCCAGCCTTTGGTTAAGCAGCCACATCCACAAGGGGAAGTCCACAGGGCGAGAATTAATCCGACATTCACAGTAATGGAATATGTAGGGGAACAGGCCACAGTACCTGAGAGAGCTTCATCTGCATGTTAGCAAACACATGGAGGAATCCAACCACTGCATCCCACAGCCTACTGTGAGCCAGGCTCTGCTGGTTCCCGATGCAAGGGCCCTGTGGAGCAGAGAGTTACTCAGAGCCTGTCCTAGGAGGGCATTCGACTCAGGGTTATGTGAGAGGGCGGCGCCTTCTAAACTCATGTATTTCACGGTTCAATGTTTTCCCAAGATACTTTTCATTATTCCCAATTATAGGATCTTCTCTCTTGTGGGGGAAATAGGGGTTTCACAGCCATGATTTCTTTTAGCTTCAGAATGAAGAACATAGCTAACAAAATAGTTAAATGCTGTAGTTAAAGAGGATCTGAGGGGCGTTTGTTTACACTCTTTGCCCATTTCTTTCTCTGCAAGGCCTTCTAAGGAAACAAGGGTGATGGAGACCACAGTATGAAAACCAGGGGTAATCTACCACCCTTTGCTTTCAAGCAGAGCTTCATGTAAGTGTTACAACCTCTGACTAACCGAGATTTAAAATCTCAGTAATAATCCTGCTGTAGGAAGTCCTATAGCTAGAAGTTACCTGCCCACTGGGGCGTGGCCTCTTATACTATTTATGCCAATGCAGAACATGCATCCGGCTGCGGGATTTGGTTTCTGATCTCCGTTCCAGCAGAGGATTCTGATTTGTGAGTCTACCCCCTAAATAAATAACCATCTATTTCTCAATTCTGCGCTAGTGTGGGATTTCTTTTAAGCGTCCTTCCACATAATCCCAGCAATCAAACTACTCCTAGGAGTTTCATACTAACATAAACATCAGATATAAATACCATATCAGACATTTTCTTCTCAAAGCTGAATGTCGGATGAACAAATACCAGTTTGTATTTTCACAATAACCTTCTTATCTATGATCATTAGTAACTATCATAGCCTGTTTTTTCTTTAAAAAAAAACTTTAATCAATCTCCAAATTTCTCTTCAAAAAGAAATATCCAAAAAGGACACACATATTACCACAAGAATGGGAAGAGTCTCGGTAGGATTCCCAAGGGAAAGTTGGGATGAAGAAATATTGTCTACTTTCCCAAGTCATACTGTTTTATCCCAAATCACTGTTTATCTATGTTCAATTTCTTGTCCCTAGAGGCCAATGAGTTCATGTTTGAACAAAACTGGTTGTTGAAAGAAGTATTCACAGAATGCAAGCTTCTCTTTTGTGTTGAGTACTCCAGGGGAAATCTTCGTTGGTAACTTTCTCCTTTCTCCATTTACCCCTGAATGGGATACTATTGCCCTCTCCTTAATGAAGCCCTTCTTTTTCTTTTTTTGAGTTTTAATACAGTTTACCTTTACTACATTGAAAAAAACAACTCATTTCCCAGGAAGTACACTAAGTTTTGTATTTATTTTTATGAGAAAATAAAATCTGAGTAAGCTAGTTGCCTCGTGATATGGACATTGGATGAAAATCTAATTGCTGCCTCTTTCTTTCTTTCTTTCTTTCTTTCTTTCTTTCTTTTCTTTCTTTCTTTCTCTCTCTCTCTCTCTCTCTCTTTCTCTCTCTTTCTCTCTCTCTCTTTCTCTCTCTCTCTCTCTCTTTTCCTCCCTTCCTTCCTTCCTTCCTTCCTTCCTTCCTTCCTTCCTTCCTTCTCTCTCTTCTCTTTCTCTCTCCCTTTCTTTTTCCACAATTGGGGGATTGAACCTGGAGTCTCACACATACAAGGCAGTCACTCTACTATTGATCTATAGCCTCAACCTTTTTTAAATTATCTAAAATTTGAAACAGGATCTCTTTAACCTAGCTGACTTTTAATCCACTCTCTACCCTAGGTAGGTCCTGAACTTGTGACCATTCTACCTCATCCTCCAGATAATATTTTTCATTGAACAAATTTCAACTCCATGATATATAAAAGAGCCACACTGAGATTTACTGTTGACTTACAGAATGGGGAAAGAAGGAAATGATGGTACACAAGGAAGGGGATGGGACATTCCTCATGCCTTTCCTTGTTTATTTTTCAGTTACTGACATTATTCTTCATAAGTCACTCACAATCATCCATGACTTCTCCAAAAGACCAGTGTGCATCCTTCTTTATGCACAGTCTGTGTGTCTCTGTGACGACACTAAGCCCTTAGGTTCATAAGAGCTTTCTCTTTCATTAAATTCCTCATGCGTGGTTTGTTTGCTTTATTTCTTTGTTGTCTGACTCTGAGTTTCAGAATGCTGTTGAGGCTATCATCAATTCCACTTCTGCATGTTTGGTGCATAATAGATATGATTAGAGGCATAATACATATGATCACTTTAAATTATGAGTGATCATCTCATAGCAAATATTTTTCATTATGCATATGCATTTTAAACTACATTATCAACAGTTTCATAGCAGAGACAATATAATACATTCTCCCCAGAAACCAAGATGAGAACACAAGCTAAATGTTTTATTCAACTAATAAAGGAGAAAATATTTTATTCATGAGTTTTGTGGTTATGATCACATAAAAATTAAGTGTCAATTATCCTTCAAAAATCTTGTGTTACATAAGGCTGTTATGGCTACTGATTATATAGACAGATTTCCTATATATATCATTCATCTCTCTTCACGGCAGGTAGACTGTTGTAGGAGATGCATAGCAAATGTTATGGAAGATCTACACAGAGAATTCTCAATAGAAGACTCTCAAATTTGGCCCAAAGACACTTAAGGAAATGTTTAGCCATTCCCTGATGGCTATTAGAGAACTGCAAATCAAAATGACTCTGAGATGCCATCTTACACCAGTCAGAATGGCTAAGATCAAAACCACCAATGACAGCTTATGCTGGAGAGGATGTGGAGTAAGGGGAACACTCCTCATTGCTGGTGGGAATGAAAACCTGTACAATCACTCTGGAAATCAGTATGGAAGTTTCTCAGAAAATTGGGAATCAACCTACCCCAGGACCCAGAAATACCACTCTTGTGCATATACCCAAAAGATGTTCAATCATACCACAAAGACATTTGTTAAACTATGTTCACAGCAGCATTATTTGTAATAGCTAGAACCTGGAAACAACCTAAATGCCCCTCAACTGAAGAATGGATAAAAAAAATGTGGTATATTTACACAATGGAGTATTACTCAGCAGTAAAAAACAATGACATCTTGAAATTTGAATGTAAATGAATGGAACTAGAAAAAAAACATCCTGGGTGAGTTAACCAGACCCAGAAAGATGAACATGGTATGTACTCACTCACTCTTAAGTGGATACAGACTGTAAAGCAAAGGATAACAAGCCTATAGTCCATGACCCCAGAGAAGCTAAGTAATAAGGAGAAACCAAAGATAAACATATATAGATCCCCCAGAAAAGGGGAAATAGATAATATCTCCTGACAAAATTGGGAGCATGGGGGTGGGAGGAGAAAAGAGGGTGGGAGGGGAGAAGGAAAGGAGAAGGAGAAGAGGGAGGAGAACGTGAGGGAACAGAATAGTCAAGACAAGGGGAAGGACAGAGATGGAAAGCAAGGAAAGAGATATCTTGATTGAGGGAGCCATTATGGGACTAGCAAGAAACCTGGCTCTATAGAAATTCCTAGGAATCAACAAGGATGGTCCCAGCTAAAACCCTAAGAAATAGTGCAGAGGGTGCTCGAACTGGCCTTATCCTGTAATCAGATTGATGACTATCTTAAACGTCACCAATAGAACCTTCATTCAGTAGCTCATGGAAGCAGAGGCAGAGAGCCACAGTGGAGCACTGGGCTGAGCTCCCAAAGTCCAGTTGAAGAGTGGGAAGAGTGAGAATATGAGCAAAGAGGCCAAGACCATGATGGGGACACCCACTGAAACAGCTTCCCTGAGCTAATGAGAGAGGTCACTAACCCTGGCCAGACAGGGAAGGAACCAACATAGGACCAAACTAGTCCCTCTAGTTGACAGTTGTACAACTGGGACAGACTGCAGGGCCATTGGCAGTGGGACCAGGATATGTCCCTGCTGCTTGTACTGACTTTGGAACCCATTCTCTTTGGAGGGATACGCTGCTTAGCTTAAATATAGTAGGGAGGGCCTTGATTCTTCTTCAAAGCAATGTGCCATCTACTCTGAGGAGTAGATGAGAGGTGGGGAGGAGGGGAAAGTGGAGGGAACAGGAGGAGGGGAGGGAGTGGAAACTGAGATTGGCATGTAAAGTGAAAAAAAATAGCTCTTTTTGTTTTGTTTTTTAAATAAAAGAAAAAAAGGAAGAGAAAGAATACTAGAGCATTAAGACATTCACTCTGAAATCCACTTGACATTACTTCTTCCATAGTAAGAGCTCAAAGATTAAAGTTTTATTGCTATTTATTCCATTTTGTGACAGAGTTTCACTATGTTGCCCAGACTAGCTCAAAACCCAAGATCCTCCTGCCTTTGCCTCCCAAACCCTGGGATTGTAGGCATGTGCCAATGTAGATAGGTTGGATTCCGTTCCTTATTTAAAACCCCTACTAGGATATTGCTTATGTCATTGTTCCATAATTCTGTAAACAGTTTCTCTGCTTCCCTCTCTGTGCTTACTGAACATCAGATATTGATACATCATCAGATATTCTAGGCTGAAGAATTTTAAGGTGAATATATTTTTCATTCATATAAAGTAGTCAGTCTAGAAAAGGAAGCAAAATGTAATGAGGTAAATGAAAATAAACTGTGACAACACCATGAACAGGTCCCAAAAGGGGACCACAGACTACAGGTTCTCACAGACCATGGGTACCAATGGTTCCCTTTTCTAGATATGAAATTATGCTAGCGTTGGGGCTGAGTACACAGGATGCACTGTGTGCATCCAAATACTCTAGAGAATACAGAAAACGAGCAAGTTAAAAATATTCCCTCTGCTGCCAACTCTGCACTCATTAGCACCTACCTGGATGTACTCTGTAAGAGAATTAAAGATCTGCTTGGTGACTGCCAGAGCTTTAGAGAAATTGTGCTGTCCAGATTCATCAATGATGTCCTTTCCCGAGTAGTACCAATAGAAATCGCTGATGGACTCCTAAAAGCAAACAGCAGAGTTGGACATTTGGAGGGATCCGATCATATCTCTACGCCTCTGCTATGACAGGAGCCGGGGAGCCAACAAAGATGCACAGAGATAGCTGGCCCCTAGCACCTTCCAAACTCACGTCGTTCTCCACAGGGAAGAACGTTCGAGGAAGATACGCAGCCTCTAGCACCTGGGAGACTATGATGTACGACATCCAAAGTGAGCTATGCCCACTGAAGATAATAGTGATTATCCATAGGTAATTTGATCCTTCTTTCTGGGCCACTGTAGCCGGGTCTTTACTGACAACACTAACCTATGCCCAGCATTTTGTTAACAGACACTCTCATGATTAAGGGTCCTTCCGCCTTGTCTATGAACACATGTTTTAGGAATTAAAACTTCCCGAAGTGTGAGGGCATAGATTACAACTCCCTCTTTGAGGGTTAGACTACATAGACACTCTCTGAGTGATGCGGGTCTAAGGCCCAAGTTTTCAACTTAACAATGGTGTGACTGTGCTATTGATTCAGTTGAAGTTGTATTTGTAGTTCCGAGTGTTGTTTTTTTTTTTTTTTCAGCTACCTATTTATGATGTGACGTCCTCTGATAATGCTATTCAGGAGCCCAGGGTCAGCCACATAATCTTAAGAGTAAACCATCAATATGCTACAGCGTCTCATCTCACGAAACTATGATGTGCAATAGCTAGGCATAGGAAATGCATTTCCAGCTTATGGGTGGCTTATCAGGATATAGTTCCACGGAGGAACATCTCTATCCTGGGCCTCCCTGTTTCTGCGTGGCTGTTGCTAGCTCTTGTAACTGTAGATGAAGTGCACCATTGCCCATGGTTCTGACTCACCTGCAGACGCAGAAGGTAGTCCACGGTGCTGATTATGATGTTCACAGTGGTGGTGTTGCCCATCTGAGTCCTCAGAAAGTTCTGGAAGTCTGAGAACACCAGTGCTGGGTCAGAACCTAGGCCCATTAGACCAAAGGGAGCCAGGCATACCCTGTTAACTGAGCTTAGACATAGCATACTATGTGGCAAGTCTCACACAGAGAATATATTTGGAGCCTCACAAATCCTGCTCTACTCTGAGCTCTGATAACCCTGTGACACCTAGAACAAGATAAGATTTTGGAGGTGATATGAAAGGGATGGTGATTCTGGGAGTGGTTTAGCCTTGCTGACACTAGACAGCAACAGTCACAAGCCTAACGGTCATTCTATACAGCTTTCGTATTAAGGACTAGATGAACTTGGATAGCTTGGTGGTTTGAATGAGAATGACCCCCCATTGGCTCATATGTTAGAATGCTTGGTGATCAGTTAGTAGAACTGTTTGGGAAGGATTAGAAGAAGCGGCCTTGTTGGAGGGGGTGTGGCTTTGTTGGAGGAGGCGTGTCTCTGGGAGTGGGCTTGGAAGTTTAAAAGGGCCATGCCAGGCCCAGTCTCACTCTTCTTGCCTGCTGCCTGTGGATAAACATGTCAAGCTCTCAGCTCCAGCCCCAGCACCACGCCTGTCTCTGTCCCACCAGGAAGATCACGGACCCACCCTCTAAGCAAGCTCCAAACTAAGAATTGCCTCGGTCATGATGTCTCTTCACAGCCACAGAACAGTAACTCTTTGGATCAAGTGAGCACCACTGAATGAGAATCCCGCACACAGACGCTGCTTTCCCTCAACAAGTCGGCTGTCCCCACTCACCGCTGTTGTGTCCTTCACAAAGCAGCTGGAGGAACCGGAAGAGATCCTGTGTGAACTCGTCGTTCTGGAGCACTTTCTCACCTTGAAAACATAATAGACACGTCAGCATGTGCATGGCCTCTCAACAAGGAACACCTGCTAAGGCACATGACTCCAAAATGGCAAACGGCTTTGGAAATGAACCTTTGGACCGATGTTGAGAAACCCAACTAATTGACAGCCAAGGCTGCGGAGTACACAGCGCAAATAGTAAACTGTGTAGCCTGAAGCCACATCCTGCAATGAGAACAACTAGGCTACAGCAGTCAGTGGCCCACAGCCCATCAAAACCCATGCTTCACAGATAGATAGAAGGCACTTCTTTAATTAAGCATCAAGCTGCAGGGTTAAACTCGGCATGCAACCACCAAACCCAAGATGTGTCTGTACCAAAGCAATTAAATCCAATCCCTTAGGATTCCCACACCATGGTAGGAACTCTGACTAGAGAGTCACACTTACCACGCTCACGAACTATGACTGGTGAAGAGAGGAAAAAGAGAAAATACAAAGTAAGAAACCCATAAATACTGTAACAAACTTCAATGATAGCTAGCTCTATGAACACATCCAGCCTGGATGCTGGCTTTAGCAACATCAGAGAGAAATGTTTTGCTCAAATGGAGCAAGTCTTTGTAGACAAAGAAATTGCATGCAAAGGCTGTGATCAGCAAGAGCTGATCTTTCAACCAGGAAGGGGATGACCTTGGCATTCATCGGCTACTTACGTGTTCCTTCTTCTGTAACCATTCCCAGGCCTTCAGCTTTATTCTGCCTCTCAAATGCATTCAAATCAAGGACACTTTTAATTGACAAAAGAAAACAAGGTTCAGGGCTAACCACACTGGGAAAATAGATTTCTAATGTCAAGTATTTACGAAGAATATTTTGTCTCTTTATTATCATAAATAGACTAACACATAACAGTTTGTCCAAAAAAGCCTGAAGCCCCTTGGGTTTGTGCCAAGCACTGTGGTTTATGGATGTGACAGCTCACAGACCTTGTCATACATACAGAGAGATGATGATCATTGTTTAGTTTGAATCCTTTCTTATGGGTGAAGATTTAGAAAGCCCTCCCAAGTCAGGAAGAGATGATTTGTTTCTGAGATTCCTAAACTACATCCAAAGCTCACCTCCCACCTCTAGCTGTTTTCTCTAAAGATCACAGAGAATTGTGGTCCCTAGTGTCTAGGATGAGGATTGGAGGAAAAAGCTAGATACTCTGGTGAATTCAAAGGCCTCCCTCTCTTATGGTTCCTGCTTTGTTCAAAAGCCAGTAGCAGCTAAGATTAGGCCTTCTGTGAAATGTTGGTGTTTGTTTTTGTCCCCATTTCCCCCTACCTTCCTGGCTACAGTCAAGTTTTTCTGAGGCAAGAAAAGCTACCCAGGCTGGGAATGAGAACACCTTGGGAACAAATCACTTCCAAATTAAGTATCCTTACGCTTTCCCAATAGGTTAATTCCTTAACTGATCTGAACAGTGTGCTAGAGCAAAAAGTTTTATAAAGGTATCGCTCTTAGGGGCATGCATGGCTGAGCCCGTGAAGACTAGCGTTAGCTTTACTTCTGTTGGGGCTCAGAGGACATGGTTGTAGACTAGAGAGATATTAGCACTCTTTTTTTCCTTTCTGGGGACTCTTGGTGAAATTTCTATTGCTACCTTTGTTGTTTTTCTTTTTAAATTAAAAAACATTATTTTTGTGTATGAATATTTTGTCTGCATGTACCATGTATATGCCTGGTGCCCATGGAAGTCAGGAGAGGTTGTGGGATCCCTTGGACCTGGAGTTTATGTATAGCTGTGAGCCACCATGTGGATGCTGGGAACTGAACCTGGGTCCTCTGCAAAAGCTACAAGGACTTGGTCTCCTCTGACATCTCTCCAGGTGCTAGATGTGTTGTTTTCCCCATCCCAGCCTGTGCAATTAAAAAAGGGCTGCTTAAAAAAACCCAAATTATCCTGCTGTTTTACTGCTTGGATTTTGCTGTGTTGGGTTGGGGATTGGGGCAAGCGGCAAGATAAACACAGGAAATGACGTTTGGACCTTGTTGCTTTGAAGCTTTGCTTTTGAATTGGTGCCATGCATCTCACTTTAATCCCTAAATGCCCACGCTGAATGTTTTAATTTTCTTACTGCTTAAGTATTCTACAGATATGTATTATCTGTGTAATAATCAAAACCATTAAAGTGTCTTAAAACTTCTGTGAGAAATCATCTGGCTATTAAGTGAATGTCATTTGTCCCTCTGTGCTATCATTATAAATGAATTATAAACAAATTTATCAGTATCAAGTACTGTAGCATACTGAGAGACCTCTTAGAGATCTAATGGAAATGTCATGAGCAATGTAGAACTCGGTTGCCTTGATTTTGCCATCCCTGGGTCCACAGGTACTATTCTATCCTCAATGAGTCAGACCTGGCAATATTACATTTTCTCTTCCTGAGAGAGACAATAAACTAATAGACTGCTAGTGCAGAGAGAGGGGGTGGGAGAGTAGGAGGGAGGGAGGGAGAGAGGGAGGGAGAGAGGGAGGAAAGGAGGGGGGAAAGAAAGATTATGCTGTAGCTCATACAGTCTCCTCATTGCCTGGAGGTTGGCAAGATTATGAAGTCGACTAAAAGGATGTTCATCCCCCAAATGTTCAAATGGAAGACATCATAGTCTATCTTAACTCTTGATACTTAGAGACAAATGGTTAAGTAATTGTAACTTTGGTTTCTGGCAGGAAGTCATGTTTGTGACTGATGGGGATTATTTCTTCTCATAATGTAGTTTGAATGTAATCCTGAAGGCTAGGGAACATTAGCTACTCTCTGGGACTTTAAGGTAGTAAATGCTGAATCTTCTCAACAATTGCATGGTAAGGTAGATGATTTTGTGTACCCCTTTATCTTTGGTTTTAAGAATGCTGAGTGGTTTCCCCAGACTTACCTGCAAGACTGCATAAGACCAGAAAGGCTTTGAAAGAACCCGGCATCTTTTTTCTCTTTTAAGTAATCTAGCATTTTCTGCAAAGAGACACAGTTTAGAGAGAATCAATGAAAACTATGTCGCAGCTCATGATTTTCCCAATTCTGATAGAGAAATGGCAAATCCCCTGCCATAGAGGCACACCAAAACAGACTCAGGGCTACAGATAAGAGTTACTGGTGTAGTTAAGAAAATATAACCTCTACACCAAGGCTCAGGGAACATCTGGGAAGAGGCCAAAAAACCATAAGAGCAAGGGGACCAGGATGTCAGCTGGGAGGCTGTCTTCTCTACAGTACCAGGGCACCCACAACATCTCAACAGTAGGTTGCCTAAATAAGGTGTGAACAATATCACCACCAGATGACATGCCAATCTGTTTGGGAGAAATCTTAGAAGGTCCTATCCCTAGATGAAGAGCTACAATCAGTGACTACAGGAAATGAATAAGGGAGAATCAATCTTCCCCAAGGATGAGTCACTTGATAGGTGATCCAAAACCAAGTGGTCAACCCTAAAGGCATGCATTTGGGCGGCACTAAATGGACACAGAAGGTTGTGTTTATGTGCTTAAATGAATGCATACATCCAACAATAACAAAGAAAACTGTGCATGAGTCAAAACATCTACCCAGGGAGTCAGATTCTATTGGATAAAGCTTATTATTTTTGCTACTTCATCAAAGCGTAGTAGACCTTTGGCATTTTTGGATTTATTGTTTAAAGTCTTTATTATTTTGGATGAGTGTTAGGATGGTGACATTGTGATGTCATTGTTTTCTATGAGTATTGTTTATAGGAACAAGAGTTTGGACAGCAATGGGCCTAGTTGAGAGCACAGACATGTTTACTTTGTTTTCTCTGGTCTCTGATTTTAGAAAGGAGGAATTTTGTGGGACATAAAATTTTTGTATATTAAAAAAGAGCTTGCTGCAAGATAGTTAGCTGATACGTTGTAGTGGAAAAAAGAAGCCAACAAGAGAGAAAGAAAAATAACAATTCTTCATGAGAAATTAGCTTGGGAAGATTTAAAGACCAAGAAAACATTATGTCTAAGATAGTTATGAATTCAGAGACTTGCAAAGGCTCTGAGATATACTTTAATGAATATTAAAGTTCTGTTTGAACTCACTTTCTTGTGCACAGGGCTGTTCTAGGTCACAGTGGTTTTCAACTTTCTTAACACTGCAACCTTTTAATATAGTTCCTCATGTTATGGTGACCCCAACCATAAATTATTTCATTGCTACTTTATAGTTATAATTTTGCTACTGTTATGAATCATAGTGTAAATGTTTTTGGAAAAAGAGGTTTGCTAAAGGGATTGTGACCCACAGGTTGAGAACCACTGCTTCAGGAGATACTCATAAATGTCTACCTTTCTCAACCAGTTCCAATTCAGACACCAAATGACTACTGGCTATCCGAATACTGACTTCTCATTTTATGCCCACTAAAACGTAATCAGCAAGATAGGATGTTTTGCTGTTTTATTTTGCGGTCTGAGAAATTGAACATGGGGCCTCGTTCATGTTAAGCAAGTGCTTTGTCACTGAGCTATATAGCTCTGACCCCTGGGTTTATGAGACAGAGAGTCTCACTCACTTTGTAGCCCGAGGTGGCCATGAACTCAAAATCCTCCAGCCTGAGCTTCTGGATTGAGGACTTTATTTGTATCGCTCACTAGAATAACTTCAGCCTTTACAGCAGAACCAGGCATTGTTAGTAATCGGTAAGTAAGTGTTTGATGAATAGGAGATAAGTGAGTGAATAGCAGGAAACTGAATTACTCGTGCGGTTTCTCATGGTAAAGCAGCTCACAGGTTAAAGGGCTGAAATAAACATCAGGGGCTTCAGAAACATCCTCTGAGTAGTTCCAGTTCTGCCGGAAAACTTGAGGGAAAATTCAATGTCTCATTTCTTTAATTTCAGGTAAGAACCTCTCTATTAAGTACACACATTCATGCAAACTTCCAGCTTTTGTTTTTACCTATGTTTCCATCTGCTCTGACATAATTGGCCACCAAGGACAAACACCAGCCAAGAAACTGTGGGTGGCCTTCTTGGAGCAAACCGAACCTCATCCGTGAGAACTGTCCTGTCCAATGAAAGTACCCCAGGAACTCCACACCACCCCCCGATGCCATCTTACCTGTTGCACGCCAGCATTGCCTCCATTGAGAATGGCAATTCCCAGCTTCAGCGTCTCAACCACCATGGGACTCATCTCACCTGCCAGGGTGAAGATTTGATTGACTCACCAAGAAAAGAGGTGGTAAATTATACCTGTTGGGCTTTCTCCAGGCTTGTTAATGTGACTTTAGGCCATGGAGCGTTAGCTCTGTGCCAGTCACCGAGGGTCTACCTAGAAACAGGGACATCACCTTTGCTGGCACTTATCATCTGAAGGACCATCTCTGCGGCACCACGTTCGTGCAAGCGCGCTTGCTGATACAGTGTTTTCTGCTTCTCCATCTCCTTCTCCTAGAAGAAGAAGTCATATAGAAAGATCAGCCCCTCCAGGGCTCTCATTCCTCCCTTCTGCCCATGTTCTCCTTGGGTAAATGCAACGTGGCAAGATACGCTGAGAGTGAATCTTTCATAGCTTATGAAAAGCAATGCATATAACTGTGGATAAAGCAAACCTCTAAATTTTATTTCCAGACACGACCTGGCTTCCCCAAAGAATCTACCCATAAATTTACTCACTCTTTAATGTTGAGGTTTCTACTCTTTATGTTGCTAGGTAACAGTGTTTTCACCTTTGCTATTATAAAGCAGATTATTATTATTTAAATAGTGAAGAGAGAGAAGACCGACTCAATGTGGTCACTTTGGGAAGAGGAGCAGAAAGATTCAGCCAAAGCTCTCAGTCTTAGCCTTCAGGGTCCCAGCATGAGGGTAGGACACACACTAACTAAGCAGTGCAGGTCAGGGTGTGGACCTGTCCATCACCCCTGCCCCAACTCCAGTCCAGGCAAAGCCACAAGCTGGAAGTCTTTCTCCTGGAGACAAGTTCCTCCTTGGCTGCCTCCAGGGCTCTAGCTTTTCCATCTCCCAGCATGCAATTTCTAGCAAGTCAAGATTGAAATGTGCTTGTCTTTCAATGCTCTGTTATACAGGAAACATGCTTGAGGGGCCACCTGACTATATTTGTCTGATATAAGAAATGCCCCTGTATTTACACTGCAGACATGTTCTACCAGAACTGGTTACCAGAAGTGTAATTATCTACGTACACTTTTATTGTATTTTTGGATGCTTTGCCTATCAAAGAGCACAGAAACCTAAAAATTGTGCAGTTTTAGGAGTGCCGGGCTTCTGCACTGCCTTCAAATAAAACTGCCATCAACTGGTATTTCTAGAGTAGTAGTGACAATCCCAATGCCCTTGATTTTTTTCAATTTTGATTATTTAAATTTGCCCCCTTTCAGTCTGTTTCTATACGATAAGTAGAACAGTTCCCATCAGAACCAGCATAGTTAGAAGTGGGCATTGCTGATGAGCAGGATGCCTGCTGCTTGCCAGTCACAGAGGCAGATGGCAGAGCCATGGCTGGACTTGCTGAGTCAGACACAGCAGTACAGTGAGTTCCATAAGCGAACGGCAGTCACCATTCTGAAGCCCCATTCTATTGGCCTGTAAGGGCCTTGGTTCTAATGTCTTTATGGAAACTCACTTCAAATGTTTTTTCCCTCTCTTCATCTTCGTCTTCATCCTCAGCACTCTGACAACTCTGGGTTCCATGGAGCAGGGAAAGGAGGACACAGACAACCAAGTTATAGGGAATCACTCTTCTTTTTTTGTTATTTCTTATTGTATTTTATAAAACAATCTTTTATTTTTACATACCAATCCCAGTTCCCTCTCCCTCCCAAGCATAGCTCTTCTATGACATTTAGAACGCACAAGGGACAGGTCATTCATAGACTCCTAGGACCTCAGCACCTTGTAAAACTAGGAACATTCTGATCATTGCAGGGCTACCTTCTACTTTAAATGCCATTTTTGTAGTCACCAAGGGGTTAAGGAACAAGAAAGAAGAACATGGAGTTCACATATCCAACGGGGACTTGTTTTAAGCACAGATACGAATTCCCTTCCCTAAAAAGTTTTGATGCAAATGAGGACAAAGGAATACAAGGATTTGTCCCTCTTAAGACAGATGCCAGGGCTGTGATATTAAGACTGGAATATCCATGATGAAAACCCCAAATTGTCACTTTGTACTAGGGTCATGAGAGACAACAGAACAAAGCAATACGAGTTCCTGTTTGCCATCATCTGTCTCCTCTTTCCTGAATGTTTTACTCTCTGAGGACAGTTTCCTTATGTACATTCAGCATGCCAAGAGTTTGTCAAACTTCTGGGTGGCATTCCTCTAGTCACTGTGACTCCTCTGGAACACTGGAACCTTTTTCTAGTGTCTGGCCTGTGTCCTTCACCCGCACACAGAATGAACTACCTGGCCTCTCCCAGTCACTGACTGAAGGTGGAAGACAGTCTTTGTGCTTAGGCCTTATTCAGTCAGCTTTAGAACTGCCGCTATTTCTACAAAGTCTCAAGGGGCCACACTAACAGTGTGAGCACTGTGTGATGCCCAGAACCTGTGTTATGACCAAGCCCTAGTCTTCATGCTTATACAACTTAATATGATAGGCAGATTGTGACAAAGTGCTAAGAACCCAGGAGTACCTTGGCCATCATACTGGAGTAGGAGGTGTACAAAGGGTCATCTTCCAATTTGCTGGAAGAGAATATCAGAGAAAATATTTAGCAGGCTATGTTCTGGAGTCAAAAAAATTACTAAAAACCATATAAATTCCAAGTTAAATATACTAGTGAGCTAATTAGACACTCTGAAAAGCTGATCCAGCATTGCCTCAACATGGAATTTAGGATTAAAGTCATGATTTTAGGCCATTTCATCTTTAGTCTGTCTCATATTATGAGAAGCCTGTCCTCTGGGTGTGTCCTGGTGACCATGAACAGAGCCTCTCAGTTCTGAAATCCCTTCTACCTGCTGTTGACACAGAAGGGCGGTTATGAGCGAGCCCTGTCCCAGGCCTGTGGGAAGAACACCACGGGGATGCTTACCTCCTCTCCGTGAGCGCGTTGCGGCTAAAATACAGGATGATTTGGTGAAGTGGGTCAGGCTGCTTTTCTGTCTCTTCCTCTTCCTCCTCTTCAACCCTGGGAGATTTCTACACAGAGCAACACAGGCAGATTTGAGGCACAGATCCCTGTACGCACAGTACAACCGCATGCGAGTAACGAGAAGGCAAAGCGCAAGGCACAGAGGGCGTCGGACTGAAAGCATCATCTATCAGCTGCTTATTCCAGCGCAGGAGTCCCGAGGATGCAGGGTTGCTGTAGACAGACACATTTCCCCAGCCAATCAAAGGCACGTTCCATTTTAAGTTAAATGAAATCAAAGAAAGCAAATGGCTGGCCACAGGGAAAGAGCTACGGACTCCAATCAACGCTCATGCAAGCTGTGAGCACCCCAGTTCAGGAGGGAAACCCTGCTGTCACTTAAGAAACTGAGTCCCTCTAGACGATACATGGAATTTCTTCTGGAAAGCAGGCTTGAGATAGAGGTGAGACCAAAGTCATAAATCTCTGGGCTTATTTGGGGTCCAGTTGTATTATTTTAGTTTTTTTCCCCAAGTATTGCAATGTTTATTGATAGGTAACAAGTATATAAAATCAGGGCATGAACATGACTTAATAAATTTAGCAGACTTAATTTCAATACTATAATAAGAGGAACCAATGAAAAAATCTTACCATAGTATTAGTCTAGATTTAACCTAACAAAAGACGTGTCTGTTTGTTTCAGCTTCACACTCAACCCTAAAATTTACATTGTCCTGCAAAGCTGCCATGTAGGAGCCGCAAGACTGGCCCTCCTCTCACCAAACCACTTCTCTGTGTTTATAGAAAGAGAAGCAGCAGCTGGTGCTAGTGGAAACAGTGAAATTTTCTGGCAGAGGTCAAGTCAGCAGGAGGATGTACTTGGTGAATTGGTGAGAACTACCCAGGTTGTGCGAATGGTTCCGCAGCAGAGGGCTAAAATGCCACTTCCTGCCAGCTTCACACCCATCAGGAACATGGGAAAGCAAAGGCAGCACCTTCTCAGCAACAGGAGTGTGTGGGGAAAGCAAGGGACCTAGGAACAAAGGGAAAGAATGGCGAAGAGAGATTTAAAAGAAAAAAAAGGGAAGGAGGGAGCAAAGACACAGAACGATAGTTCAAAGAGGAGAACAGACAGAAAAGAATGAAAGAGAAACAACACAAAATTAGTGCAGAGAGCAAATGAGAACAGAAAATGAGAAACCGAGAGGTAGAGAGAAAAGAGAACACTAAGGTTGAGAAAAGAGAAGAGGAGGGAGGGCTTATTTTCCCCTGACACAGGATGAGGCTGCTCCGCTGTGATTCCCGTGGAGCTGTCCCAGAGTAGGAAGTCTACTAGAGAGTGCATGCCAGCTTTCTGAAAGGCCAACAACACAGAAAAGAGATACAGGACAGAGGATTATTTAGATGTGCCTCCCCCAAAGCAGAGCTATTGTTTTGGATGTGGAGTTTTAGCAGGGAGTAAGCAGGGCGGGGGTCTCCTGCAACCAGTGGTGCTCAAAACTTAACTTGGCACGGACTCCCCATGCCACAGCTGTGCACTTTAAGAAACATTAGTTGTTAATGGTGATGGAGACAGGGGTGAGGAGGACGTTATTAGCACCTCTAATTGAAATTCCATCCTCTGGCTCGTAGGCCCATAGGCAGCATCACCCTGAGAATTTAACTCTTTTCAGGTTGACACAGCACACACATTCTCTGTGAATGCCTGACTTCCGCAACACACACAAACACGGATAGAAAAATCAAGCCCATTCACACCCGTGTCCACTCCCAGTTTGTTCGGTACTTACAGCCAAATCCTGTACTAGGTTCTCTTCAAAGGAGTACGCCTCTGTTTCTATCCAAAATCTCTGATAGCCATGGAGGAAGAGGTTAATAGAGCGGTGCCTGAGTGGAAGGGTGAGACGGGGGTCAGGACAGTCGCTGGGCTCGTTAGTTTAGTTTGGGTGGTTAGCGGTTAGTAAGCCAGGACAGACTTTTTGTACAATTCTCATCTTCTGATTGGTCAGGACAGCCAGTAGCTCACATTGTTTCCTCATAAATACTGGAGTTCTTCCGAGCGCCATAACCAGAGCAAGACACAACATCCCCATTTAGCTTTACTGGGTTTTTACCAACATTGCCATTCTAGTGAGAAATAGCGGATTAGATCAAGTCTGAAAATGTTCGCTTCAGGCGACAGTTTAGTCATTTCTTCAGATTAGCCCACTGTCCAGTAATACAATTGAAACCGGGTTGTAGTTTAGTGCCAAACTGAAAACCCTCAACTTCTGCTTCAGTACCTTCCCCTAGCCAAGGAATACCTCAGCGGGGCACTCCAGTGGTCACTTAGGAAGGCAAGATCTGGGCGTGCTATGCTGTGGGCATGCCTGCTGTGCACCTTTGAGAGCCTGGCTGTGCTCTGGTGTCTGGCTCACGCCCCTTCCTGGAAAGTTGGCCACAGAAGCACAGCTAAGAGGGACCGTAGTAGCAAGCCAGGACGGGAATGCAGAAAAGGACAAGATCGGTCATGTCCTGGTTTGTGTTTTGGTAGAACCAAAATCTGGCTGTCTCCCGTTAAAATCTGACCAATCAGAATTTTACTTTCTAAAAAATTGTACAAACACGTATTCTTATGGGAACATCAAATCATGGCCAGGAACGGAGGCATGTGCAGAGGATGAGCTGACGTCTTTCAGTTACATTACCATTAAAATGGGTATTAGTCTGTCATACTGAGTTTTTTCATTAACCTTTTCCAGCCAAACACGTTGAAAGGTGATCAGGAAGAAATTGTTAATTTTGTGTCTGGAGAGAAGCATACAGGGTTTTCTTTTAAACACCGGCACTAGATGAACAGCATCTCTACAATCAGACAAATCCCTCCAGGCGTTTAGTCTGGAAGATTCCCTGACGCTTAGACCATCACAAAGTAGGGAAGAGGAGCAGCTTCCTCCGTTGCCTCCTCGGTGAGTTGGTTGTTATGAAATTGACTCAGAATCCTTCATACTAGAGAGAAAACCCAGGCAGCTGTTCTAGAGCAACTGTCTCAAGGACCCATGCCTCATGACAGAGATTCCGTGAACTTATCCTGACATATGCAGGTGCAGGAATGATGAAGGAATACCCGGATAGGAAGGGATGGTATCAACATCATTACAAAAACAAGAAGCTTGATTTTGAGAGGGAGGGATGACTTCTGCCTGGCCCTGGACAAGTGTTTGTAGACCTGAGTTCCTCATGCCACACCCTCAGGCAGGAGTTCTAGCCAAGAGAGGATGGTGAGCGTCTCCTAGTGATTTCATTGCCTCTTAGAAAACAAATAAAAATCATACACATGTCTACAATGTTAAATGGACGTCAGCTTCACCTTTCTGAGAGGGCTTCACCATCCCTGTACCTAGGGTTGACTTCCATTTTTATATTTTTATTCATGAATTTGTTTATTCTGCTTGATTTACTATCACTTTGTTCCCCTCCAAGTAAAGCAAATCTAGTTTCCTGGGAGAGGCCCTGTGGAGCAGGTGCACAGCTCAGAAGCCGTGATTTCCCTACCGTCTTCAAAGACCCTAAAAGGGAAAACTCGCCTGGTTCAAGTCAAGGTAGAGGTTATTCTGGAGAAATAATGGTCAAGATTCCCCCAATGGACAAAAGCAAAGACCAAGCATTGAATGGCCCCTGGTCTCATATTCTAAAGAAACACCCTGATGTGTAGGATTCAGAATGCTTTTGTCCAAGTCAGTTGGTTTTCCACGACCAGGTGAAGCTGTTCCCAAGGATGGGAACGTTGATAAATCAAAGGTTGTTTTTCAGTCACCAGCTCTGCAGACTGATTACAGACCTGCTCTCATGTACTCTCCAGTCTGTCAGGGAAAGATGAAGTTGTCCTATCAGCAGACACGGAGAGACTGTCCTAGCAGTCAGTAGAGGCCCTAGCTCTACTGAGATCACTACGGTGTAGCTCTTCAATGCCTCCACAGGTCATGCATGGAAGGACTGGCCATCAGTCTCTGGTGTAACAGAGGTGGTTGACCCTTTAGATGGTTAGGTCTAGTAGTAGGAGTGCGGCCACTGGGGACCCACTCTTGAAGGGAAATTAGGGCCTTGATCTTCCCCCGCTTTCTGCCTCCTCACCTCTGTGAGGTTTGCTCCATTGCACATTTACTCCGATGATGTTCTCCCTCACCACAGACCGAAAATGGTGGTGCCAAGAGACCGTGAGCTAAAGCCTCTGCAACCATGAACTGAAATAAACCTTTCTTTCTTTTCAGTCAGTTTGCCTCAGGTATTTTGTGGTAATGGAAACTGAACTAACACAGATTCCCTTCCTTATGCTGGCAGAAGATATGCTACATGGTAATTTTTACTTCAAAGTACCAAAGACCAAGATAAGTACACTGTGCTTCTGTCTAACCTCTTTGGGTATTTCTAGCCTTTCTTCCTTTTTTTTTATTTTAAAGCAAGGACTTGCTATGTAGCTCAGGCTAAATTCACATGCATGACTTGAGAGCTGGGATTAAAGGCATGTGCCATCGCAACTAGCTCCCCCTTCCCTCATCTTGATGGTAAACACAGTGATGAAGGATTCTTAGGCTACATTTTGCTCTGATGAGGAATAGTAAATTTTGTCATATCACCTAGTGTCTGAGCAGGGAAATGATGGAATTTGGACTAAGGTACTTTAGAAACAGTTCCCTTTTCCCAGAAGCCTTTACACTCTCACAAAGACTCCTCTGTCAGACAAAGCAGAGAGCCTCATGTGTGCTGAGAGGCTATGAAGGCCCAGGACGAGGCACTCTTACCTGCTTCCATACTTACCTTGATTGCTTAGTAGACCATTATACCATGCAGTCTGCAAGGTGCCACGAGCCAAGGACCCCAACTTTTATAGTTAGGATCAAGATTAAGGGCCATAGAGAGCTCAGCTATGGGCAAAACAGCTTAATTCCTATCACTGGCTCACCTGGCAGAGAACAATGATAGAATACCCACCTGGGCAAATTGTAGAGAGGAGCCATCCTGAAACAGGCCACCACTGCCCGTTTCCGTTGCTTTGACAATAATTTGTGCCACACAGCCTTTTTGGACCTCAAAGGCTGTTCCACCTAAGAAGGAATCACATAAGTAGCTAGGCAGTAGGCCTATCTGAATGGCAGACTGAGTAGTTCAGACAAACTCTAGGATAATTTTGGTTTCACAACTGAAGTTAGCAAAAATGTTCCCAGCTGTAAGCCATTCTTGTGTGAAGGTCTTATTTTTTTTTTAAATTTTATTTCCCCAATGCCACTAGCCATTTATTGCTGTTTTACAAATGGCAAAGAACTGGAAAAAATATTTTGAATCCATAGCAAGAACTTAAACAGTTCGGGGAAAAATTGAGGGCAGGACGGCTTTGAGATGCCAGGCAACACTTGGGAGGTGATGTGGGATAAAATTTGGTGGTTGCCTTTTGCCTCAAGAGGTCTCCTGTAATTGAGAGCTGAGCGCGGGGAAAAAATTTCTATCCTACGGGGCAGTCTTGCTCACTCACTCCTCAGAGCGAACCTCCCTACCTGCTCCAGGTGGAAGAGAGCGGCTGAGATCCTCTGCACTCGCTCCACCGTCTTTTCCGGATTAGAAGGTTCGTCGTTCCTCAGAACATCTTTGTAGAGGTTCAGTTGCCATTTCACAGCCGGGTCATCTGACTGAAAGTTGAAGCACAGCCGTGAGAAAAACAATGTCTGTATCTCTAGTGCTAAGGAATACTCTCAGTCCTACCAGGGTTCCATATGACGAGGCTCGGTTGATCAAACTTCCTTTACCGCCTTGGCTAATCCCTCCCATCTAGACTAAGACCACTATCACAGTTGAAAGCCAAAACTGAAGCAAGTGTTAACGAATCCTAGCCAGGTGGATGGGCTCTCGGCAGGTCCATAACTAGGTTCCTGGGAAATGGCCCCAACCACAGTTTGCAGCGGCTTAAGAAGTAAAGCCCATAAGTCAGCGCGTTTCCCATCAGATCCAATCAGGGGCAAGTATGCATCCTGATGGACTCCTGTGAACCTCCCGCCCACATGTGATCAAGCACATCGGGTGCAGCTGGGTCAACCTTGTTTAGGGAAAAGAAAACCATGTGACTGGTTATCTGCAATTAACAATGGTCTTCAGCATTTCAGGAACTGTGTTTGAGCAAGGGCTTGCAGATCAGAGGCATTTTTGTTTCATGGATCTCTTGGGAATAGTAATTAAAACCTAACTTAAAATGTAACTTTGGCTCTCACACCTTCCTCCCCATTCCCTTCCCTCCAGCCCTCTTATATTTAAAGAATGTTGTGTTTTTATTTATGTGTGTATAACTCTGTGAGTACATGACACCCACTTATCAGAGGCCTCTTCACGAGAGCGCTTAGCCTCCCCCTCCCCCCACAGAGCTCAAATTTGCTATCATAACCAACACTGGCCTTGAACTCCTGATCCCCATGCCTTTGCCTCCCATTTGTGGCAATTAAACAGTTTTTAGAACTTATCTTAAAACATGAACAGGGTGTGGGGTAGTAAGTAATACATTTGTAATCTTAGCACTTTGGAGGCTGCAGAGCAAGGCTCTAGCTTAACAGAGAGACAAACACAGGTCCTGCACGCAGCGGTCACGGGGCAGCCTGTGGGAGGAAGCATCACCTTTTCCTGCAGGTGCAGGTTATTCCGCAGATGTTCCTTGACCTCTTCATCAGTGTCCCTCTGTGGAAAGATGCTACATTTTATTCCTAAGGATCACGGTGGAAAAACCAAACAGGATGCAGGAAGTTTGGAGAGTTAGTGTACAGTTTAACTGGGATCTTTCTTAGGAGAACGAAAGGAGAGAGGTGAAGGAGACTTACCCTAAGCTACTGACTTCCAGACAGCTTTACAAAGTGCATACCTCTCCCTCAGCCCCCCCCTCCCCTCGCAGGAGCACCCCATTAGAGGCTGAGTACCGTCCACTCCCCACAGCCCATCCTCTGCGCTCAGCCTGACCACACAGGCAGCTTACACAGCTGTAGCGTGATTTTGCCAGTGAGATGAGCTCCTGGTCGCCTGGAGTACACATGTTCAAACCAATGGGTAGCATTTTCTTGAGAGCAGCCACGATGAGGGAGGTCTGGATGGAATACAAGTCTCCTCGCCTCTTTGTCTTCTTCCGCTCCTGGTCCTGTCCTCCAGACTAGGAGATGATGTTGAGATAAAGAGAAGGGCTCAGTGACTCTCTGAAAGGAACTGCCTCAGCTCAGGGGTAGCTTGCTTCCTTGAGGCCCTGTCCGTACAGGCTGGGCCTTACTACATTTCAAAGAACAGTAAAAAACAAAAACAAAAAAAAAGTGTTAAGCAAAAACAAACCAGATGGTCATTAAAGACCAGCCCAAACCCGAGCCTTCGCTTCTGTACATGCACACAAACCACAGTAGCTAGACACACAGCACAGACACCCATAGTCCTTGCTTCCTCCCTTCTGCGCCAAATGGACAAGAGTCACAAAGAAAAGAACGATTTTTACAACAGGGAAAATAACTCCGACAAAGAACAGCTCCCTACCACTGGGCACGGGTACGGGTACTGGGCACTGGGTACGTGGAAGAGCGTCCTCCACAGCACCAGTGGCCTGTTTCCAGGGCTGAAGCTGGTGTTTTACAGCGTAGGCCTTCCATATAGCCTCTCTATCGTGGGACAACGTAAGTTCTTACAGGGAAGCCTACAGTAGGATGGCTTCAGGCTCTGGCTGCGAGGAAGGTATGGGAGAAATTATATGTGAAATAAAGGATAACAAATAATACCCTAGCCCTATGGGAGTTGTGAGTTTAGTTTTACTTTTAATTTTGCATATTTACACTTATATGTGTCTCTGTGTGGGTGTGAGCACATGAGTGAAGAATCCACAGAGGTCAGAAGAGGGTGTTTAAACCCCCTGGAGCTGGAGTTACAGGATTCTGGGAACTGCCTGAGGTCCTCTGAAGACCCAGCAAGTGCTCTTAACTGCTGAGTGATGAGAGCTTTGAGACTTTGTTTTGTTTGTGCTTTGTCATTCTTTCCAGAGTTCACACAGCTAATTATTAGTGGTTTTGTTTCCTGAGTTTTGTTTTTGTTGCGGTGGTAGTTGCAGTGTGTGTGTATCTGTGTGTGTGTCTGTGTCTCTCTCTGTGTGTGTATTTAGTTATCTCAAAAGAGGTCTCACTATGCAGCCCATCCTGGACGTAGATTTATGCCAATCCCGCTTCAGCCTTTACTCCTAGGATTACAGGTATAAAATACATACCTGGCTCTAAGTGGGAGGTGTGAGAGAGAAATCCGACTGGCTTCACTAGAGAGGATGTAGCTCCCAAACAAGCAACTGAAAATGCTCAGCACCCATAGTGTAGCACATGGTGGTAGTCTGGGTAGGTTCAGGGGACAGGATGCTACAGCGACCTGTTTTTATGTTGCCATGGCTGGCAGAGCAATGCTGACCACGTGACACTCTGCTTGACAGACTTTCCCTCAGCTGAGTAAGCAGCTGATACAAACAGGGAGGATTTTGTGGCCTGAAATTAGTCAGGACCCATGCTGAGGGAAAACTGGTTTTGCTTCAAGAGTGTGTCTGCTAAAATGCAGTAGCAGTAGTGCAGCTTACAACGACATGCATACAGAGCTCTGGGTCCCTGTTCCCTTCCATAGAAGTGGCACATCAGGCCCATTTATGAGATATGCATTTTCTTTTTTTCTTTTATTTTTTAAATGTATCTTATTTTACATGTATGAGTGTTTTGCATGTATGTATGTATGTATGTATGTGCATCATGACTGTGTACCATGTGTGTGCCTGGTGCCAAAGAGGTCAGAAAAGGGCATTGGATCCTCTGGATTAGATGGTTGTGAATTACCATGTGGATGCTAGGAACTGAACCCAGGTTCTCTAAAAGAGTAACAAATGCTCTTAACCGCTGAGCCAACTTCAAAGCCCCAGAAATGTGTTTTCTAGAGAAGAGTTCGGATTAATTCTGCCTTTGGATCAATGGCTATGTTCCAGTGTGTGAAAGAAATTCCTAACGATGAATGACACTCGATTGGAAATGTTATTTTCCCACTTGGCCGTGCACGCAGCACTTCCAGATGGTTATATTACCAATTTGGAAATCAGTCTGATGAAAGGGAATGGCAGAGGCACTCTGTCTCAGGACTCCAAGACCACAAGTCAGCTCCATGATGCATGTTAGAAGGGCAGTAACATGTATGGGAAGGGAAGAGGAGATGCTGAGGACCAGAGGCCTCTCATGTCCCAGAACAGCAGAACGTGAAGGGTGCTTCACACAACACTGCAAGTTCTGGTGCTCACTGAGCCCCCTAGGTTCCTTCTGGTTCTACCATCAAGTGGAGAATGCCAGTGGCAAAGTCCAGCACCTAAACTATCCATTAAGGGTGGAATCTGGCTACAAACATATGAACTACACAGTATTATGTATGTGTATATGTGAACATTAACACACAGCACATGGGTAAATATGCCAAAATGTAATTGTGGATTTGATATAGAATTTAAATGATTTCCCAGTTAATCTCTGCTTAATTTTGCCTGTATCTTATTCTAAGCATAACATCTACATGTATGAGTTTGATATGCCCAAAGAATAAATAGAGCATTTCCAGTCCTTAGAACAAGCTTAAGATAGTTTGGAACTGAAACCATGATGCTCAGGGAGCTTGAGTTTTTTGAGGTCACACAGTAAGAAAGCATCTGAGACGTCACCCAGATGCAAGTCTGTCTTGTCAAGGCTCCATTTCTCTTTTCTGCAAGCTGCATATGAATTGGCTCCCATTCTCTACCACATCCCTTGGGTCAGAGGGTTTGGAACAATAGCATTAGATACTTCTTAGTAGATAGACAGAAGGGGAAGAATGTCTACATAAACTTCAGGAACAATTGGAAACGTATTCCATTACATGTACATTTTGTGCAAAAGCTTAAAGTTATCTGCTGATTTCAAGCTTGAGTCCATCCCTGGGAGACTCTCCTTGAATCATGGGAGCTTGAATCAGAGGCGGAGCATGTACAGTGTCAAAGGGCTGGGGCCACTAACAGACACGAGAAATGCAAACTTGGTGCCATGACAGAAGAGTGAGGCTCTGAGGCTCCTGATTCCTGCCTGTCCTCCCTATCTCTGGCAGTGTGGTGGCTACCCAACTAAGAGAGTAGGCATTTGGGGAAGGGAGCAGAAATAGCAAGGAGACCTCAGTTAAAGCAAGGCTTGCCTGGCTTCCCCATCCCAAGGGTGGATAAGCCGGCATTCACTCTTGGACAGGCGGTTGTCTTCCCTGGGCACCCACAGTGTGGAGGGGGACAGAGCGTGGCACCTCTAATACTAGGACAGAAAAGACACATCATGCATTTGACCTGTACCTTTACTTGCATGGCCTGTGTGGAAAGACAAAGGGAAAGAAACAAGGACAGGAGTCAGTCAGTGAAAGCAGGGATCCAAAGTATCAGGCAGCATGTTAGTCACAGCTTCTTGGGCCCAGTTGCTCAGTTAGCAGCACAGATACTCAACAGTTCAAGTAAGCATAGCATGAAGACAGAGGGGAAATTAGAATGTAGGTTCATTGCCGGTCAAGAATTATATGTATCCTCCTCAAGCACTTCCGGCCTGGGAAGAAGTTACCTTAGAGACCCACCTTCCAAAGTGTATGCTCTGTAGATCCCACCCACAGCAGCTACTCACAGTAATCTACAGAGTCTCCTCTTTTACTTCCTGTAACCGCAGGGGGCTGCAGACAATTTGCAAGTACCCAAAGACCTCTGGTTTTAATTCCACCCCCCCCTCACCACCACCACTGGAATCTTCTCCAGCAGACTTCAGCAGATTAGAGAATCAAGTTAAAAACAACGCCTTTGCTTCTGCTAGAAAGTCTGCTATGAATATATATATTTTGAATCTTTTCAAAAAACTTTAAATTATTTTTATTTAAGTTCATTTGGTGTATTTGGTGTATTTGATGTAAAAACATCAGCCTAATGTGCTGTTTTTCCCATTTTTTATATTTAAATTTTTTTCATATATTTTGATCATATTCTTTCCCCTTTCCTAATTCCTCCCAGATCCTCCCCACCTTTCTCTCTCTTAAATAAAAAAGCTAAAATCAAAACCAAACATGGAAACAAAACAAAACCTGGAATTCTTTTTGTGTTGACTATTTGCAATTATAAAAATCTATTTTAAAAATTACTGGAAGGGCTGGCCTGTACATAGCTCACACAAGGCCCTGGCTTCCTTCCTAAGCACTGAAATCAAAGGAGCAAAAACAGAGCAAACAATGTTGACAATGAAGAGACCATACTGAACTTTCAGGCATGGCATGATGATCCACACCTTTAAAGCCAGCCCTGGAAGTAGAGGAAGAGTTCAAGGACAGCTTGTGCTGCGTGATAGATTATGAGGTCAGCCCAGACTGCATAGAAAGATATGGTCTCTAAACAGAGAGAGGAAGGGAGAGGAAAATAAGAGAGAGGGGGTTGCTGGGGGTATGTAGACTGTCCAGAGTGATGTGGGACCTAAACAACAGAGTAAAGCTTCCTATACTGCAAGGTTCCTACATCCCAAAGGCTATGTCTTTATTCTTCACATATTGCTAAGATTAATTATCACATGGTAATTCCCTAATTCTGCTTCCTATGCCCTCAAAGTAACTTTACTTATCCCCTCGTAGGTCATAAACCACAGCATTACCTTATGATCAAACAAGTGACTTGCTGTGTAGACCTTAAGGGGAAAAAGAAACCAAACCAGACTTTGCAGCCTTCATGTTTTTCTGAGATGTGGGAGTTTGATGAATATACATTGCCTGGTGTTGTCTATGCCAGCAGAGCGCAGGGGGCTCACATCAGGCTTTGATCAAAGGCAGACCTGCTCTGTGGGAAGTCCTTACAACATCTAGAGGGTAAGCGAGTTAATGGAAGTCAATTCAAGATGAGATGTTAGAGGAGAGAAGAATTTCTAGAAGTCAGTCTGAGAAGTGGGGGATGGGGGTGGAGGGGGAGAAAGGGAGAACATGCAAAAGGAGAATCAAGATCAGGAGAAAGGGGACAGATGGGAGGGAAGGGGCAGAGAGTAGAGATGAAAGGGCAAGCGTGTATGGCAGAGAGAGGGGTGGAGGGAGGGAGAGAGAGAACACAAGTGCACAAATGTGAGATACTTCAAAAGTATAAGACAAAGAAAAGAGAAAGGATGCAGAGGGAGGAAGTAAAGGAGAATGATGTATGTGTGTGGCATGTGTGTGTACGTGTGTATGTGTGCATGTGTTATGTGTATGCGTGTATATGTGTGTATGTGTATGTATGTGCTCACATAGAGCAAAAGTCACACGATTTTGATCAAATATATCTTCTTAGACAATTCCTGTCCTTTTTTCAACTCATTTCAAAACACATCCCAATTCTTGTACTTCAGTGGTGCATTTTAGTGCTTACAATATTGGTCAAGGACTGGCTAGCATTTCTTTGGCTGGCTTAACATTTCTTTCATTAGATGCGTTCTAACTTACCATTCCCCTCTGAGGAAGCTGCTGCCACATCACCAGAAAACAAAGTACATATAAAAACCAAACCAAACCAAGTCTATTTGCTCAGCTAGTCACATTAGCTTAACATATATTCACAAACTGGAGCTTTATAAACAAAATATACAATGAGCTTTCAGAAAGGAAATGTGCTTGGCTGCCAGCAAAATAATGTCTTTGAACGGATCTTCAGTTAATTGGGTGGGAACGGCATGGCCCACTGTATATTTCTGGGTTTCCTTGACAACAGCATGGCTTATGCAGTGTATGACACGCAGCATTCACGGATGGAAACCTCCACCAAGACCTCCATATGCACCCACAACAACTTCATTTCTGCAACGCCAGAATGCAACCAAGAACAGAGACAAATGCAAGCCCAGTGACAGGTGCCCAATCAGAGCAGGGAGCAGAGACCATCTGATCTTTCAGGAGCAAGGGCAAGAGGAATTCTACAGATATGAAAGAAAATCACTTCTCTTGCTTTCAATATGTAGTTCTCTGTTCTCAGATACCAGAAATGGCTATTTATTGGAGGCAATGCATCTATCTTCATGTGTTCATTAAATGATATTTTATCTGACTGATACTGATGAAGACCGACTTAACTAGAGTCTCTTAGTAGAACCTAGAAAAGTCAGATAGCAAACTCAACCCCTTTATACAGATTGAAAAGATGGATTCTGAGGATTTAAGTGAATGAAGCAAAGCCCCAGTGGGCAGCTCAGTCAAGGGCACAACTTTCTCCTTGCTATTTCTTGTCTATTTGGCTATGATTTTTCTCTGTCCTAACTCATGTAACAGGGACAGTGTGGATATAAAAGACTCAGAAACTATCAGCATAGAATGTCAGTGGAAATGGAGTTTCTTCCAAAGATGAACCTTTCTAAGAGGGATGATATCCATGTCTTGAACATGATCATTTTGACCAAGCAAATGCTTCCCTTTCCTTATTCAGCATTGTGAATGAGCCACTCAAATGTCCCCTTTCCTCATTAGCATTGTGAATGAAAAAATGTTTTATTAGTTTGTTAGTGGATGAGTTGAGTTATGAAATAGATTTCTGTTGCCTCATTCATTTATAAACTCAAGGACCTGGAAGAGCCATTCATCACCAGAGGGCTGAGATGGCTTTTCCCGTTCCTACGCATCAGGCATCCCAGTACTTGTATCGGATTGTAATGGATGCTCGCTGGGTCAGTCCTGAGCCAGAGGATCAACCCAATGTGAAAGATAACATGGTGTCTGCTTGGGATTCACTGACTTTCTACAGGAAGTCGGGTTAAAGGACAGTTTGTGATGGCTGTAAGACCCTGCAAAAGAAACGCAGACAGGCTGAAATCTTAGGAAGCTGGGAAACCTGGGCTTGTGTTCCTCAAGTGAGCAGCCGTGTCCATCAACAGGCGAATGTGAAAAAAAACTGTAAGAAACCAGATAAGTGTATGTAAAGGACTAAAGGAGACACCCTAAGATACCTTTCCAGCCAAGATTCTCCTCAAATATAATCTCGCTGATTTGCATATGAGCTATTTCCAGTGTCAACTCTATTAGGCAGCTTATGTTCAAAGTGTACTCTGGTTTATACTACAGAGCAGACTGAAAATGCTACAGTCAAATTTTGGATACTAGAAGAGTGCTAGCATTAAAAGAGATGAAAGACAGAAGAGGCAGTGCTGCGTAGCGGTGGCTGATCAGAGCCAGCTGCCCCACTCGGTCTAGCCCCAGGTACTTGAATTTTCATTGTGGTATCACAATAGCCTTTCCTGCACTGACAAGACATGGGTCATCTGTCCAAAATGGTTACTAGAAAGATGTTGCAGGTCTTCCCTACAAGCCCATGGTTCCTACCTTGCCAGATCCATCTTGGGTCCCATGCACACTCCACTGCTGTGTTTCTCACAGGCAGCATTGGCAGCAATGAGAGGGGTGTCTCTCAGCTCTTACAGGCTACTGAGCCTTGACATATAAGCCAAACCTTCCCAAGGCACAGTTCTCGGGAAACAGAGCCAAGAGTAAGCCACCATGCCAGTAAGAACACATTATAGTTAAGAAGACTTGACTCTTGTGTGTGCAGCGGAAGCAGCGTGACTGTGCATGGCTGTTTCTCTCTAGTCAAGACAATGAAGCTTCATTGTACAGAGCTGACTGAGAAGGAGATGCCAGTCTCCTTTGCCCCCTTCTGTATCACAGTTCCCTTCTATAGGTTAGCCTTTCCCCCAGACAGTAGAGTGACATGCCCTCTTTCAAACATCTCCTGCAAGGAGATGGGCAGATGTTGGCTTTCTGAGTAAGAATGTCATGGAAAATGAACATAGGCATTAAGAGGTTGGCACATCTGGAATAAAACAGATGTTGGTGTTCCAAGCAGAAAGAAAACATGATGTCAGGGTGTGTGCTATGGAGGTGTGAAGGCATGGTCATCTCCTCCCAGCCCATCAGAAGGCGACTTTGCACTTCTGCACTTTTGGAGTGTGGCTGTACTGGACACAGTTCTATCTTAAAACCATTCACACTAATGTCTGTTTGAAGACCTCTCACATGCCTGGGGCAAGGCTTGAGACTTAAATTTTCCGATATACAAGCACCTATTTATTCACAAAACAGGATGCCCATGCTTATTTGACAGGAGCTTCTTCTGGCATGTTCTAAAGAAACAGCAGCAGTAGAGGCTGCTGGTTATATGATGTAACCTAAGCTGAATGTATCACTAAAGCCCCACAGAATATGAACTAGATCCAAGAGGTCAAGGTTCAACCACCCTTGACACAGACTTCTGAGGACTTACTTTTGACATCTTGCTTTTGCTGTCTCCGGTTAAAAATGCCAAGTTATTAATTTCATTTTGAATCACGAAGTTTTGCTCTTCCCTCTTGAAGTTCTAGAGAAGGACAGAGTAAAGGAAGATTTAAAAGAAAAAAAAGCAAGCATTAAAAGAAAGATTTTTCCAGACCTATACCTGCCGAAACTGTTCAGAATCTAGAACCCAAGTGTGTCCTTACGTGAGATTTACACCACAGAATGAAGACTTCGGCCACCATGCGGAAGAGCTGGTCAGAATCAGTGTCTGGGCTTTTGAGCCAGTTAGATCTGCATTGAGAAGCAAAGAGGTAATATAGAAAATTCAGCAGGGATTACAAATATACCCCACAAACCAAAGCAGAATATGTTCAGTCAGGTAAAACTCCATTTATTGCTGCCAGGGGGGCCAGCCACGAGAGAACATAGGACTGGAAAGGAATCCATGGCGTCAGCATATACTAGATTGTTCTATCTGAAAGGGTTAAGGAAAACACACTCACACACTCTCTTGATGGTTTCCTTCAGACCCTTTCTTGAGTCTTCTTTCGCATTCTCTATTTTCCTGGTGATTTCCTCTCTCATTCTTGATGTTTTCTTTTTAACCCTCACTCTTGATGTTTTCCTTCTGACTTGTTTTAACTCTCTCATTCTTGATGTTTCCTTCTAGCCCATCTTAACTCTATCTAACTCTATTCTTGCCCTTATAGCTTATATACCCCAGCAAAATCTTTCAGGCAATATAAAAATCACAATGTGGTTATTCTGTTTTTCAAATGGATGATTATAATGAATACAGATCAAACAGTAAAAAAAGCATGTTTTCAAAATCCCTTACATGATTAAACATTCTATGTATTATAGGTAAAAAACAAATTATCCCAAGAACCAATGTACATTTATACCCAAACACCTTGTTATAGATTAATCATGAGAGCAAGCAAGGTATTCTTCTCAGTCAGGTCTTTTACTGGCAGGCTACATTTTGCAGTTACAAAGAAAGGTCAATTACTTTATTACTTATCTTGAAAGGTAATCTTATAGGGAATCTTAAAGGAATCACAAACATAAACTTTTATATATGAAAATGCACCAGTCAGCTCTACTTGAAATATTTAGGGTACATACCCACTCTTCAATAGCTTTTTTATATCAGGAGATTGAGGGCAGAAATGGGTATAAGGAATTAATTGTCACCTTTGGTCATTAATCAACCAGCAAGGGAAGGTACATCAGCTAGAAACAATTGAGCTGCTTTGTATTTTTGACCTCAGCTATGTGTCCTTGTGAGCTTTATAGTATTTTCTAGCGTTTTTCATCTCAAAGCTATTATCAAAACATCTGATCTAACCTGAAGTTATTTTAAAGCTTTGTTTCAGCTAATGTTGCACACCGAAACCTGTGACTGCATCTCTCAGCATTAAGAGAATTAGAGCCAGCCTGGCTCCTGGGGACTCAATTGTTTTTCTTCATCATTGACCTGAGTTACAGCCAATGCAGCTCCTTAGGCAAAACTCATAGGCCCTGGCTGTGTAGCATTTCCCTGTGTTTGCTTTGATTCATCAAAACTCCATACAAGCTAACATTATTATTAATTAGATAGTATAGTTTAGGGAGGAATCATCTTCATAGTAAGTCACAGGTAAAAATGCCCAATAGAACAGGATGTTTCCTTCAACGAGATAAGCACATATATTATAGGCAATGGGTGTCTCCTCACATCCATTCAACCATGTCAGATACCAGAGAAAGATAACAGCAACAAACATGTAAAGGCACAGCAGAAGCAAAAGACATTCCAGGGTCTGTGGTCTTGAGGCCTTGCCTAACTGAGATTGACCTATCAGAGAGTTTCCTCCTGGTAGACTGATACCTTGAACTTCAATTGCCACTTACTGCTCCTCTTTTATGGCCACCGGCAAGCATTACCATATGAAGACAATAATCCTTATACATTAAAATAAGGGCTCAGAATTGGAATACATATCATTTGTACTTTAATCAAAGTTTTCAAGAATTGTGGCAAAACAAATGTCTGACATTAACATTTCAAAACTGTCACCTTTTTGGTTTCTTCTGTAAAAGGATGGTTAACCTGTAAGTTTGGAGATAGGCCATCCTAAAGGCCTTATTGCAGAGAGATTTAATGAAGAAGTCTAGCAAACCTGTGAAAACATGGTCACTATGGCATCCAGTCCTGCCCCTGGCATTTGTCATTGGAAAGCTTCTGAATCTGAACCTCATAAACATGTCATGCCCTACACCTCTTATTCAGAAAGTCAGTTCTTTGAATGAAAGATTTAAAACTATTCAAATTGGGGGGGGGGGCGAGCTTTTGAATGAGTGTGCTTGCTGATATCAAAAGAGGGCATCAAATCCCCGAAGCTGGAATTACAGATGGTTGTAGACTGCCAAATGTGGATCTTTGGAACTGAACTCAGTCCTCTGTAGGAGCAGTACTTGATTTAAGCATTTCTCCAGTCCCTCAAAGCCAGTTTTCTGAGTGAAAAAAAAAAAGTTTATCATTTAAACTGTTTTAACAGTTTCTTGGGGTGCGGTAGGACAGGGGTGGGGTAGTAAGGACATCTGTTCTTGTGTAGAGGCCAGAGAACAACCTCAGATATCATTTCTCTGTCTCTTACTGGCCTGGAACTCATCAAGTTGGCTTGGATGACTAGCCAGCAAGCTCCAAAGATCAGCCTATCTCTGCATGCCCTTTAATAGAACAAAACAAAAAGAAACGCCAAAAACAACCAAACTAAAATCCTATAGTTAAAAAAAAATTGTATAGTTTCTGGGGATCATCATGCTTACAGGTAAGAACTTTACTAACTAAGCTGTTTTTCCAGTCCCAGAAACCAAATAGCTTTTATAACCTCTTAAATGGCTTGGAAATTCTCTATAAATAAACATTAATATTTTTCACTAGGTTGGTTTCAGAATAACGCAATAGTGACAAGGCTAATTTAGGTCAAACTCTATATGTCATCTTCTATACGTTGTTCTGTTCTTGGGTATCATGCATAGTTGAGCTAAATAATATTTCAAAATGGCAGGGTGAATGGTTATCTTCAAATATCTGCACAGAATGATGTAAAAACAAACACCAACCAAGCAACCAAGCAAACAAAATGCTGCCCTTCTATTCAACACAGAGATTCTCCTTTTCATTAACCCACCACTCAACTTTCTAGACATCAACTCACCAATTCAACCATGACATTGTCTGGAGTTAGGACCCCACATACAAAAAACTCAGCCCCAATTCACACTGTTCCCACTTCAGAATGTGACCACCTAGCTGTAAATTAGGGGTTTTGACAAATCTCTGAGTTCTTAATTAACAAGAACAGATCATAGCTTAGGAAGTAGCTTTACCTATTATTAATAGTTCATCATAAATATAGCTGAGGAACATGAAAGACATATTTAGGGCAAGATATTATGAATGAAAATTCCTGAAAAGAAGTTGTATCTGGCTATGAACAAAAATTCCTGGAAGGAGTTTCTGTGTCTACATAGACTGATGGACCAATTGGACGTACAGTACTGTGGGGAGATTGGAATTTTGTAGGCTCAGAAGCTAATTACTTTATCTTGGTCTAGTTTTAGCCTCCTGGAACAGCCATTCCTTGCCCCTGCATCTGAATTAACACCTCATGATAATAAATAAAAACCTCTTAGAAGCTATTAACTTATCAGAACATTAGCGTCTCACAATCCACGAGCTAAGAATGCCATCTGATAGCATCTTGGGCCTGTAAAGCAGCTCTCCCCATTTCATTTCTGTCTCTCTGGTGTACCCACCAACGTATTTTAAAGTTGCCTTGGTTTATGTCTTTCTTAGTTCTGTAAAACTATAAAAACCCTGAGAAACTGTTTCTATGCTGGAGCATGGAAGTTGGGATAAACTAAATCTGTGTTGCTGGGCCATGGCCACTCAAACTAGCTCTAGAAAACTATTATTTCCTTTAAGATGAGAGCTGTAGATTTTACGTTGACAATATGGAAGAGGAGTCTGGAGATTCCAACCCATCTCCAGACACTTCACCTTCCAGGTTTCTCCATATTTCCCTCAACTGAGAAGGTCTCCAAACTCTAGAATTTAGGGTTTTTAAAAGAGGCTTCGGTAGCATGTATTCTAATAGTTCTTAATAATAAAAGCTCATAGTCAAATATTAGAGATCAGAGAAGCGGTGTAGTCAGTCACTCAAGAGACCTTTTATCTCTACCAATGCTCATACCCAAAGGGGTGATCCTGTCTCTATAAATAGCTCAGATTGCATCTCCAGACTGCATCCTTGGACTGTCTCCTCACACTGCATATGAGCTCCTGTCTCCTCTGGCCTTATATTTCTCTCTCTGTCCAGCCATATCACTTCTGTCTCTACCTCCCTAATGCTGGGATGAAAGATGTATGACTCCCAAGTACTGGGATTAAAGGTATGAGCCACCACTGCCTGGCTCTGTTTCTCTTTGAGATTGGATTAGTCACTCAGGGCGGCCTTAAACTCATAGAGATTCCCTCTGCCTTTTGAGTGATGTGGGATGTCCTTCTATATATGTGTTGTTTTTACTGGTTAATGAATAAAGCTGCTTTGGTCTATGACAGGGCGGAATATAGCCAGGCTGGAAGGGATATACAGAGAGCAAGGGGAGTCAGGGAGATGACATGTATCTGTGGAAGGAGACAGATGCTAGAACCTTGCCTGGTAAGCCATGGCCTCATGGCGATACACAGAATAATAGAAATGGGTTGATTCAACATGTAAGGAATACACTTAAGCTATTGGTCAAACAGTATTGTAATTAATATAGTTTCTGTGTGATTATTTCAGGTCTGAGCAGTCAGGAAATAAAAGAATATTCTCCATTTACACCTGAATGCTGGGATTAAAGGTGTGTGCCACCACTGCCTGGCTTCATGGCTATTTGGTGGCTTAGCTCTGCACTCTGATCTCCAGACAAACTATTTGTTAGATTACAAACAAAATATTATGACAGACTTCATTTCATAGTGTTATAGTTAGCTTCAGAGGTCAACCTGACATATCTGCAAAGGAGATGCTTCAATTGAGCAATTGCTTCTATCGGACTAGCCTGTGGGTAGGTCTGTAGGGGTATTTGATGTAGAAGGGCCCAGCCTACTGTGGGGGGTACCATCCTTAGGCTGATGGGGCTGGGTTGTATAAGAAAGGTAGCCAAGCAAACCATGGAGGGTAAGCTTTAAGCAGGCTTCCATCATGGTTTCTGCTTCAAGATCCTTTTGCTAAAGCTCCTGCCTTCATCTG